CAAAGTTATTCTGCACAACTCCAGGCCTTGCTTCAGCACCATCACTGCCTGAGCTGCTCGTTTTGCTGTGGCCTAACACACACCCTCAACAGCTCAGGAAGTCACCAGCCAGCTCCTTCCTAGAGCAGCATTCTCATCTCCTCAAAGATCAGATCATAGTCTACCTTGAACACATCTTCCACACAGCTGCTGAGTTCTGCCTCTGTCACCAGCACTGTCCCAGCTGACAAATCTTCCTCTGCTATTTCTGAAACAAAGAGGAGAAAAATAAGCACCTTCATATACTGCAGTCTTTAACAAAATGTCAGCCCCTTGATGCCCTGTACCAAAAAGCCCACAGATAATCCAGAAGAAAACAGTTAAAAGCATGGGAAAAAATAAGCCCTGTTAGCTGTGCTAAAATATCACTGTGCTGTTGTAAACTCTGCAAGGTTACAATCAAATCAAAACAGACCAAAAAATCCTGATGGACTATTCCTTAGAGAACTGCTTGGCCAGTGTGGGGAACTGATGGCTTCCATCCAGAAGACCAGAATGACACTGCCAGAATGGAAGAGGCTCTCAGAGAGATGGTAGAAGCCCCACTGTTTGACCTTACACTAACATGAGTTAAGTGCTAGTGAATGTGGTGCACACAGCCACCTAAACATATCCATAACCAACAGACCTGGGCCTGCACCCTCAGTAGCCAAGTCACCAACACGGAAAAACAAAGACCAGTGGAAAGAGAAATCCGATTCTTCCCTGTTCCAGGGCTCAACGTGTCCCCCTGCCAGCTGTTACCTGCTGCGTCCGAGCAGCGGAGAAGTGGTGTCAGCAGAGGCTGGAGCAAATGCTTCTCTGCCAGCTGAGGGTGCTCTTTCACCATGGTGAGCAGTGTCGTGGTGGCCACTCTCTGGAACTGCCGCGCTGTCAGTTTGTCCTGGATGTGCAGTAAGTCCAGAATCTGAAAGGAAAGCCCGCAGTACCAGAACAAAACTTAGCAGTTGATTCCATGCAGCTAACGGCAGAGACTGAGGAGCCCCTGCAGTGCTGCTTTACTGGACACTGGGCACAACACCCCCCACACAGAGGAGCAGCTCTCTGTCCTATGCACAGGAGGGTGACCTGAGCCTGCACCACACCCACAGCCAAAGCTCCCCAGCAGAAAGCTCCTTGAAATGCAATGCTGAATAGCTCATGTGATCAGGCAAGGTTGCTCAGTATTTCAGTAATATATAGAAAACTCATGAGCAGGGTAAAAACGCATCCCACTGGGAGAGCAGTAGGAAAACAGCTCTGCACTGGGGCAGCCAGGCTCAAGTCAGGTGATGTTCAAGTATTGACAGCACAGATACTGTGCTGAGAGCGCTCCCACTTTACATTCACAGGCAGTCAGCATGCTGTGTGGAGAGCAGAGGGCAGCGCCTACCTGGGGGCACACGTGTTTGTAGTAATCCTCCAGGGAAAGGCACTGCTGAGGGCAGGAAGCCAGGATCTTTGCAACCGCATCACATTTTCTCCAGTCCACAGCTGCTGTTTCAGCATCAGTGCCACCTGCCCCACTCACAGAAAGACAAGATCAGCTCAGCCCGACTGCAAACAGCAGGGCCATTTTTGGCTGAAGTCAAACGTTTCTGGCCAAAAAATGGCCTTTTAGTTTTTATTAACCTCCTCAAACCATCCTTCAGGAAACACCTGGGCTGAATGAGGGAAAAGGGAAAACTATTGTCCAAGGCCTTTGACACTGGAAAACAATGTCCATAAATGTCCAGGTGTATGAGAAAGAAAACAGAGGGAGGCTGTGCTTACATAGTTCATGCTGCAGGAGTTCAACAGAATAGCCACATTTAGAAGCAGAATCTGAGCATTACAGAAGCCAGTTTGGCCTAACAAAAGCATTCCCCATTTCAGTACATCCCATGGGAGGAATTGTCTCAGAGACATCTTTTAAGAGTCTTTTAATCTGCAACCCCAGAAACGAAGAGCAGCACCCAAGCACCCAACTCACCGCCAGTGCCCTCCATGATACCCCGAACCACAGCCTGAAGCCCATTGGGTCTCATCAGCCGTTCTGAGAGCAGCTGGCCACAAAGGCGACGCAGCCATGCTGGAGACCGAGCAAAGGCTGGCTTTGTTTCTTCCCCAGCAGGGCGACTCTGAAAGGAAACAAAGGAGCAAGCTAAAGAGTGAATTCTCTCCAGTACACAACTGTGGGCAAACCCTCACTAACAAGCAAAGCAGCCTGCATCCTGCCCCAGAGGACTTGATACCATGTAGAAGCAGAGGTTGGAGAAACATTTAAAATCACTTCATCCAGGGGCACAAAGTAAATTAAGGCTTAATGAGAGAGACCAACCTTCCTGGGAGCATCCTGTCATGGAGAGCTTCCCTCCTTTAATTAAAATCTCTCAGGATCAGGCAGCAGCTCTGTCTCATTACTGACGCAGGGGCTCAGGGGATGAGTCACATTCAATGTACATAAGGGGACAGAAGTGGTGAGTCCCTCTCCTTGGCTGCCCTGGCTGCAACCCAGCTAACATGGCCCATATTCTACTCCCCACTGCTAAGAGGCAGTCTCTGAAAGGGCCACAGACAGCAGCAGGAGCCAAGGCAGCAGACAGCTCTGCTTCACCAGAACTGCTGCAAACCTTCCAGGTGCAGGTGTGCCTAAATTGACCCCGCACCTTGCTATCTGCAGGTAGCAGCTTGCTGCATCCTAGCACAAGGTTGAGCAGCTGCCCCAAACAGAACAAGAGATAACAGCCATAAGTTGCACCAGGAGATGGTTCTGCTGCCTGGTACCTGCTTGGGGCCGCCCTGCAGGATGAGCAGCTCCCGCACGGCCAGAGGCTGATAGACACGGTCCAGAATGTGCTGCAGGGCCTCCCGGCTCTCTGCTCGCTCTGCTTCTGAAAGGCCCTGGAAAAACACAAACCCTGAAGCGGTGAGGGCAGCCTGGCCATGAGACTGCACCTCCACACACTCAGCACCCAGCTCCCACGTTGTACGTGCAACAGCTTTGATCTGTTCTTTCACACTGAGACACACACGGCTCACAAGCAGCTGCCAGGAGCAGCACTGCACAGGGACTCTGGGCATCCCCAAACCCCGACTGCTCCAGAACCACAATCCCAGGCCCGCGGGGACACACCCGCACGAAGGAGCGGAAGGACGGGGACCACCGACCTCGCAGTGCACGGCGGGGCCGTGGCCAAGCAGGCAGAGGCCGGCGAGGAGCGGGCCGAGGTGCTGAGCGAGCAGCGGGGCGCCGAGCGCGGGGTGCCGGGCCAGCTCCACCAGCGCGGCGGTGGCGGCACGGAGCCGGGCCCCTCGGGCGGCCCCCGGCGACAGTGGCGGTGCGGGGAGCCCCGGCCGCCGCCCCACGCCCGGCGGCAGGTACGGGGCCAACCCCAGCCCCACCGCGGCCCGCAGCGCCCGCCGCACCGCCTGGCCCTGCGCCGCGCTCAGCGTGTCGGCGGCAGGCGGCGGGGCGGCCCCGGGAGCGGACGCGGGGGCGACGGGGGCGGCGGACAGCGCCTCGAGCCGTTCCTTCAGACACAGCAGCAGCGCCAGCACCGCGCACGCCACGGCCCACGCCGGCTCGGCCTCGTCCTCTGCCCCGGCTGCCAGCGCGGGGGCCCGGCCCAGCACAGCGGCCCGCAAGCCGCGCAGCGCGGCCCAGCCGGGCTCCCCCCGCAGCCGCTCCTCCAACGCCGCCGCGTTGTCGCGCAGCGCCTCCAGCCGCAGGGGAACGCCGTCCGGCCCGGGCCCCGCGGGCCGCCCCAGCAGCAGCTCCAGGGCCTCCACCACCCGGCTCGGCTCCACTGCGCCACCCGCCATCTTAGAATAGACGCCGAGGGGCGGAGCGCGGCCTGCCGCCGCCATCTTGGGGAGGTCGGGCGGGGGGGCGGGGCTATGCCGCACGCCGCCATCTTGGAGGGCAACGGGAGGGAGAGAGGTGTCGCCTGCCGCCATCTTGGGCAGGTCGGGGTGGGCGGCGCCATCTTGGGTCCAGGCTGCCTCCTGCTATCCACGTGCGGGCTTCCCCAGCGCGGGTACCGCCACCGCTGGTGGTTTGCTGCGGAGAAGCAGGTTGGGCACGGGATGCCGCCGTCCCCCAGCCCTACACAGCCTCCTTCCACCTAGCCCAGCACCACCCTGAGGCTCGGGTGAGGGCTGGCAGTTCGTTGTCTGTTCCTGCTTTCCAGTCCCGCGTTGCACAGGTCCAATAGCGCTCAGCACTGCGGCAAAGCAGGTGTTTCAGGAAAGCTCCCGCCTGTCAGGTGTTACCTGCGGGTACGGGAGAGGGATAACCCACACTGGAGCTGCCCCATCTCAGCAGCAGCCTTGTTGTGGTCAGCGTGTGGAGGAGGAGGACTGCGAGGTGAGCAGTGTTCCCACGGCTGCAGCCAAACGCTCGCTGCCTTTGAAGTAAACAGATAAGGCGTACATTGCAGAGCACACAGTTCAGCCTGGATAGGGCTGTAACCAGGATGGCTGTGAATCCTCAGCTTGCCTCCTGGGTGGCTGTGTGGCTAAAGGCATGCAGGCCCTGTGGGCCACGGTGTTCTGCTTTGTGTTTCCTTACAGGGCAGCGAGCAGAGCCGTTACAGGCTTGGGCAAACATCAGAGATAGCATCCTTGGCTGTGCTGCAGTCCCACGTGGGTCAGTGGGGCACAGCGTTATGCACAGGGTGCAGCTCCTGTGATAAAGCACTTTGGTGCAAGTCCAGTTTTCACACAGTCTGCTGCTCCTCCCTTCCCTGGGACCTGTTCAGGCAGCAGAGTAAAACCTTGACTGCTATTAGATACTGCTGTGCTTCTCAGCTCTGTGCTAGGAAAACATCTGCTCTGATACGAATCCGTCGCCTCCTGAGCAGGGTTGCTATAAAGAGCGGGGCTGCAGAAAGCATTTCATTTCTCTTTGGCACTTTGAAGGCAGCAGCAGCCACAGCCACTCCAAGGAAGCGCCATGGGGCAGCGCTGCCGGCAGAGGTACGCACAGAGAACAGAGCTGCTGGTTTTCTTACAATTTATTCTTTCAATTTTATATAAAAATCATTCCATCAATTAACACTTAGACAATCGCTGGCCTTCCAGCGTGCATCGGGCCCTTTTCCCATATTAAAAATACAAAACAACAGCTAGACATGGAGTTCAGAGTTTAAGTAAAGCCACTTGATTTCAGAAAGCACCTCTCATTAACAGAACAATAATTACAAACGACACAGATGGAAATAACATCATCACCTGTTATACAAAAAAATAGAAATCTGACCGTAAGTACTCTTATCAAATATAATTCTCTCGTGTATGATGCAAAGGGAATGGCACGTCATTGGTCTGTGTGATTGATCACCCACCCTGCACTGCACACGCACGAGCAGCTCCACACAAAGGCCATCCCAAACCCTGAGCGTGGCGGTGACATCGGGGTTGGGAGCACGAGGTATTACAGAGAGTGCTGGAGGAACCCCTTCCTCTGTAACAAAGGGAGAGAGGCAGCGGGGGCCTCTTTCCTTGCAGGGGGAGGGATGCTGAGCACCAGCCGTGCGGTGAGGGCTGTGGGATTCAGGCACTGGGAGCTGACCCAGGAGCACCGCTCCTCCAGGCCAGGGAGCGCCTGCCACCAGCCTGTTCCCAAGGAGCTCTAAATGGGACTGTGTGGGGCTGAGGGGGCAGGAAAAGCGTGGGCTCCCCAAAAGCCTCCAGCCCCGGTGACCCTGAGCTTTCCCTGCACCGAAGGAGAGGGATGCGAGTGACGGATCCAATGCTGTTGGAGGGGGCTTTGGCTGCAAGAGCCAGTGCATGTCCGAGGGGGTGAAATGGCAAGAGCCATGCGGCGGGCCAGCCAAGGGGACGAGGTCTGCCTAGTCGTCGTCCTCCCCGCCGCCATAGAGCTCCGCCAGCTTCTTGAAGCGGTTGCCCCACTCGTTGAGGTAGTCGTAGTCCTGGTCCTGGTCGGAGGCGGAGGAGTTGAGGGAGCTGAGCGAGGTGGCCTCCGAGCCGCCGCCCTCGTAGTCGAACACCAGCAGCGAGTCGTAGGGGGGGGCCGTGGGGTCCGTGTCGGCCGCCTTCAGGTTCTGGGGGGGGTCAGAGGAAGGGCTCACCCACTGCTCCCCCCGGCCTCAGCCCTACGGGATGGCAGCGCTGCGGGGCAGCCCAGCAGAGCAGCTCGGCCGGCTGGGGCTCACCTCGTCGATGAAGTTTCCGATCTCATCGGGGTTGGCGGGCCGGGGCCGGTACTGGGGGGCGGCCATCAGCGGGGGGGCCACATCATTGCGGATCACCTCGGGACGGGCGTCCAGGCCGCGGTGCAGCTGGCTCAGATCGTAGTCCTGTGTGGGGACGGAGCAGAGAGCATGAGAGGACAGCAACGTGACGCTTGAGGGATGGCCGTAGGCACTGCTGCTGTGGGGCAGAATGAACCAGGGGCTCTGCAGGGGATTGAGAGCTCTGTGCATGGCAAACATCCCTCATGGCTACGGCAGGACCCTGGAGGGCCATCTGCCATAGGGCAGTGCTGCAAGGATCCCATGGGCAGCGCTGTGACCCGGCACCCCGGTCCCACCTGGTCCTCCTCACCGCCACCCTCCTCATCGTAATTGTAGACATTGTCCCGCATGTCATCCTCGGGTGGCAGCAGCGGCTCCTTCTCCACTTTGCGTCGCCGGGCAAAGAGCAGCAACAGCAGCAGCAGAACTGCGAGCAGAGGGCATGACATCAGGGCCGCGAGGGGAAAGCAGCACCATCCACATCCCCATCACACCATACTCACTCAGCAGGGCAAGGATGCCCCCCAGGATGCCCAGGATGGCAGGGACACCCAGCCCACCGACGATGTACGACCTCCGCTCGCAGTTCTTCGCTGTCCCTTCACACTCACACACCTGGGCTTTGACCTGCGTCACCTGTGCCTTGCCCTGGCTGTCCATCAGCTTCAGGAAGATGTTGTACTCACCCGGCTCCAGCTCCTTTTTCAGGCTTAGGGCCAGCTCATCTTGTGCAAGAGAGAGGAGATTGGGCTCAGAGATGTCCCCAGGTGTGAAGACACTATCAGGGCTCTGCCCCATGGCAGCTCCCCATTCATGCAAGCCAGCAGAAGCTTGCATGTGCTGGTGGCATTCAGAGTAGCACAGAAAGAAGTGGCTGGGATCTGCCCTAGCTCAGTGTTCCCTCATTGCCCTGCACCCCACAGCACCTACCTTGGCCCCTTATTGCAACAGTCCAGTTGTTGCCGGAACCATGCTCCAGTGCTGCCTTGAAAGGGTAGGTATGTGGGGGCAGGTCCTTGTCAACAATGCTCAGCATCTGCTGCTCAGGCTGCCGGTTGCAGATCTCAAAGGACCGGGGCTCTGGTGTGGGGCCGTTGTCATTCACGTCCTGGAGGAGCAGCAGCAGCGTCCCCGTCCCGGTGGCATCCGGTATCCCTACAAAGCCAGACATTAGCGAGGTGGAGAGCCCACATCCCCAGAGCTTCCAGCTCTGCAGTGGGGGCACAGCCTCACCATTGTCCACAGCCAGGATGATAGCCTTGTATGTGCTGTTGATGGCATGCACCGACTCGCGGTCCAGTGGCTGGGCAGCCGTGACGATGCCGTTCTCGGAGTCAATAGTCAGCCAGCCTGCCGGGTCGCTGCCCATGCGGTACCTGGGCAGAGGGAGCTGTCAGGGGGGTTCATGCCCACCCCATGCTCTCTCTCTGACAGCCAAGCCCCCACTTACGTGATTTTCTGCCTCACGTCCCTGTCAGGATCTTGGGCTGTGTAGGATGTAACCTCGTGCCCCACTGGTAGGTCCTCTGATACCCCCACCCTCTTGATAGGGGGCACAAAGACAGGGGGCTCATTCACGTCCAAGACGGTCACCAGGACGCTGGCCGTGGACAGTGTGATGGGCACGGACAGGGCCACTTTGTTCTCCACCGTCACCACCAGGTCGTAGCGGTTCTTGGTCTCATAATCCAGGCCCTGCAGGTTGGAGAGAGGGGTTAAGGTGGCAGTGGATTGGTGGAGACATGGCCCACATTGGAGCCATCGACAGTGAGGTGACCCACCTTGGCTGTCTTCAGGATGCCATTGTTGGTGCTGGGGTCAGTGATAATGCTGAAGGCACCATCCTGGTCTCCACTCTTGATGTGGTAAACAGCTTGCCAGGCTGGGGAGCCTGGTGTGTCTTGGTCCGTCACGGTCAGCCTGGCCACCTCTATACCCGGCTTGTTCTCTTCCACCACCCCTTCGTACTGCAGAGAGGGCACAGGGATGGTCACATGTGGGCAGCCTGGGGAGGGCAGCAGCTGGCGAGAGCCAGCTAGGGTGAGGGAACACATACCATGGTAGGGTCGAAGATGGGAATGTTGTCGTTGGCATCCGTGACCTCAATGACGGCCGTGGCGGTGTTGGACAGGCCCTTGCCCTCCTGGTCCGTGGCCTGGACAATCAGCGTGTAGTTGGGAGTGGTCTGCAAGATGAGGTCACACCATCAGAGGCCCCGCGTCCCCACAGCGCGTCCCGCTCCCGCCGCCCCTCTGTGTGTGGGCTCTGTGCCTGCCGTGGGGCACGAGGAGAGCGCCCACCTCCCGGTCCAGCCCCGTGCCCAGCACGCTGATGATGCCCTTGGCCGGGTCGATGGTGAACATCTGGGGGTGCGGGCTGGGCGGCTGCTGGCTGACGATGGAGTAGCTGACGATGCCGTTGTCAGTGTTCACCGCGTCGTCCGCGTCCGTGGCGCTCACGGTCATCACGGAGGTGCCTGGGCAGAGCGAAGAGCCGGGCAGACGTCACTCGTGGGACGCGGCGCCGCCGCCTCCAGCGTCGCTGCATCCCAGGGCTCCCGGCCCTCCGCCCGCCCGCCGGCCCCCGCACCCGGCTTTGCGTTCTCCTCGATGTAGCCGACGAAGACCTCCTTGATGAACACGGGTCTGTTGTCGTTCTGGTCCATCACCGTGATGATGATCTCCATGGGGTCCTCCACAGGCTGCCCGCTGGCCGACACGGCGTGGGAGAAGAGCTGCGGGGGCACCGTCAGCCCGCACGGCCCCGCACTGCCTGCCCACCCCGCAGCCCCCACGGCCCCCACTCACGGTGTAGCGATCGATCTTCTCCCGGTCCAGCTGCTCGGTCACCTCCAGCCACCCCGTCTCGCGCTCGATGACGAAGATGCCCACGGGCGGGCTGTCCGCGCCCTGCCCTGTGATGCTGTAGTACACCTTGGACTCCTTGTCCTTGTTGGATTTGATCTGACGGCGAGGCGGGGTGGTGAGAGGGGACAGCCAGGGCCAGTGCCCATCCCGGTGATGCTGCGCTCAGCCCGGCCCGGGGCGGCTCAGCCCTCAGCCCCTTACCTGCACCAGCCTCATGGGGTAGGGCCCGCGGTGGTTCTCGAGGCAGCTGATGGGGGGGATGACCCAATCCCTCTTCTGCCTCCGGAGGAAGCTGGAGTTGTGCTTGGGGAAGCTCAACACAGCCGGCGTCATGTCCTGCAGGAACAGCAGCTGGTTCTGGTGCCTGCTCAGCACAGAGCAGCCCAGAGGAACGTGCTGCTCTCAGCCCCAGAGGGCTGCACTGACTATGGGGATTTCACTTCACCTGCAGGTGGTGGCTGTGGTGGTGGTGGTTCCTCTGCCTGCCCACGGTCACCTGGGCTGAGTGCCTCTGGCCCGTGGCGTCCCGTGCGTAGATGATGAAGCTGATCTCCCTCCCATGGAGCGTCAGTGGCCGTTTCGTTGAGACGACGCCATCCACGTTCACCTTGAAGCGTGTATCAGCCGGGACATACACGGCCCATGGCTGGCCGCCGCAGGCTGCAAAGCTCACTGCAGGCAGAGGGAGAGCGTGGGCACCCACCGTGCACAGCGCATCCCCGTGCACACTGCATGCACAGGAAAGCCCGGGCACAGAGCTTCCCTTCACACTGCACCGTGAGCAGTGCAGCCTATGTGTGGCATGTTGTACGATCATAGAACTGTTCTGGTTGAGAAACACCACTGGGATCCTCAACCCATCCCACCACAACCATTAACTGCATCCCTGAGTGCCACATCTCCACAGTCCTTGAACACCTCCAGGGATGGTGACTCCACCACTCCCCGGGGAGCCGATGCCAACACATCACTGCTCTTCCAAAGAAATTTCTCCTAATACCCAACCTCAGCGTTATCCATCCTTGCCACATGGCATGGTGTGTCCATGCAGCACGTGTCCCCATGGCACCTCTGCTGCCCTGCCTGTGGCAGTGGGAGAGGGTGCTGTGCTGCTGCTCCGGTTGCTTTTCAAATCAAAACAAAGGCTTTGTCTGGCTCTGATACGCTGGCTCACGGCCACATCAGCAACCGACTGGAGCGTGAATCTGTGCGGTGGGGAAGGTGCACCCAAAGGCGTGTGGCAGCAGTTGGAGCACCCCTGCTGCCCCGGCATCTGTGCAGAATCCATCCCCTCTGCCGTTTGGGGTTCTTTTGGGACAGATGGCACCCCGGTGTCACCCTGCTGGGTCACGGTGTGAGCTCCAGCACTGGCCACGCAGGTCTGGCACTGCTCAAGCAGGGACCGGCATGCCAGGGCTGAGGACAGCCTGAGGGGGGGACGATGCAGCTCGGCGGCAAGCATCAGCATCACATGAGCCGTGGCCGCATGGCTGGAGCTGCCAGAACAAACGCTCCTTTGTCTGGGATGTTTTGTTTGAGCCAGCAGCACCCAGCCTGGGTCCCCTTGACCTGCGCACCCACGGCTCCTGCACGGCTGTACAGCACACGGGGTACCGCCACGGCACAGCAGTGTGCCCAGGGTGGGAAGCACGGAGGTGGGCTCCCCAGGGGCGGCCGTCACTGCCGGGACCTGTCCCAGCGTCCCGTGTTACATCAGCCTGCAGGCAGCCCAGGAATTCAGAGACAACAGCAAGGGGGAGGTGATGGAAGAGCCGGGCTGGGGGCTGCTCGCTCACCTCCGAGCGCCGCTCCCCGCGGGGCGATGCCAATCCAGGCAGGACCCCCGGCCAGGCCGGGACAGCCGGTGGTGCCGGCTGTGCAGGGCTGTGCTGGGGCATGCCGGGCGCTCCCGCACCGTGGGCTCGCAGTGGGGAGGTGCCCCATCCCCGCGGGCACCTGGCACCCGGCCGGCGGGGCGCACCGTGCTCAGCACCCGGCCCCGCACCGACGCGGTGCAGCGAGCACACCGTGCTCAGCACCCGGCCCCGCACCACCGCTCAGCTCCCGCTCTCCCCCTCTGCGCCCGGCCGTGCACAACCTGTTTTTCCAGCTCCACACTTGAAAGCCAACCCCTCCCAGCCCCACTCTCCCCAGGGCACAGAGCCAGTGGGGCCTCGGCGGGGCGTGGGGTCGAGCTCAGGGGCTCCTGCTTTCATGGACCCTCAAATGCGTTTGGCCAAAATCAGTGAACTACTGGCTCAAAGCTGGGGCCGGGAGGTGAGCCTTCCACACTGGGCTGGGACCTGGTGACACTAAGCTACCTCCATTCTGCTGTGACACAGGAAAGTGTCTCACCCGGGCTGGGCGCAGGGTGAGTCACAGGCACAGCCAAGTGCCACCATCCCAAGACTCTTCCCTGTCCCCATGCAGGTTGTGCAAGTGGCTGTGCCGGGGCGGAAGCTGGTGGCAGGGGGAGGCACACGTCAGCCCGTGAGCAGCAGGGGTGAAAGTACTGTGAGAACGCTGTGAGCCACACGTCCCGCCAGGGACTGACATCACCGAGTTTCACCGTGACTTCAGACTCTCGAGGTTTCTCCCATTTGGGGCTGATCCGGGACCTATGCAACTGGGGAGTGTCACATCTGGCTGCAAACCTGTGTTCCTCCCATAAAGTGCCATATCCACACAGCCGAGGGCTCCTTGAGAGCTCCTTCCTGCGATCTGCCATCCCATCCCATCCCCTACCTTTGTGCACTTACTGAACACAGCCCAGGGATGCAGGGCAGGTGCTGTCCATCCTTCCCTTGTGGTGTGGGGCAGCAGCAGCCCCAGCACCCACTGGAAAGCATCATGCTGTGCAGCTTTTACAGCCTGCATTAACATGGAGGAAATTGCTCCTTCCTCCACTGAGCCCTTTCATCAGCCGGGCAGTTGCAGCGCCGCCGGGAAGCCCAGAGCTGCACCCAACCCGGCCCCTGGAGCACCCACTGATGTTCACCACCCCAGCGCCACTCGGGGCCAATCCAGACCTGTCTGACTGCAAACACAGTGCTCAGCTCATCGGATAATTACAGGGCAGCTCATCAGCCTGCCCGTGCTGTACCACAAATGGGGCTTTTCAAGGGCCGCGCGGCACGGAGGGCACGGCACGATGCTCTGGGGCCGGGCATTGCGGCAGCAGCACTGGCACGCGTGGGCAGACTCAGACACCCTCCTCCCACACACGTCCTCTGTCACCGGCCCCAGACGGGAAGCGCTGGTGCTCAGCAGCCGGGGATTTCCAGCTGGGAGCCGACGCTGTGTGCTGGGGAAGTGCCGCTTGGCACGCAGCTGCTCGTCACCCTGGTGTCAGGCGCTGCCCCAATGGGCACAGCACTGGTAAATGATTAACCGACAGAAAGCTCAAACACAGAATGCATTCAGTACAGTGCAGGGTTCAGCTCCCAGCCCCGATACTCCCCAGCGTGGGCGAAACTCAGACTGGAGCACCTCAGCCACCCTTTCCAAGAACCACCGCGCACCCACGCACGGCTCCGCACCAGGGCAGGCGCTTGGTGCTGGGATGCGGGCTCAGTGCTGATGTGTGCTCGGTGCTGATGTGTGCTCGGTGCTGATGTGCGCTCGGTGCTGGGATGTGGGCTTGGTGCAGGCTCAGGGCCGGGCTCCATGCCCCACACCCAGCCTGCCGGCCCGAACAAGCCTGCTCTGCCTGAGTCAGCGCCGCCCGCCTCGGTGCTGCTGGGAGAGGCACCCGCTGCCCCCGCGCACCCTCGCCCCGGCACCTGCACCACCTGGCTGCTCGGGGAGCTGGGACACATAAGCACAGCTCTGTGTGCCCACAGCCACCAGCACTGAACTGGGCAGAGTGCAGCCAGCCCTGACACCACGCAGGGCACACTTAACCATGGCTTTATTCCTCATGGCTACCCTCGGTGCCACGCACCCAGCCCACCCCCACAATCATATTTCGATGCCAACTTGCCACGCATTGAGCCTGTCCCATCAGGAACACCTTTGTCCTTGGTACCAGCCACCCTTGGTACCACGCACTGAGCTTGTCCCCACGTATCTCACCACCATCAGCATCGCACACCCAACCCATCCTCACAACCACAGCTCTGTTGCACCTCGTGGGCGCACAGCTCCGTACCCACAGCCCCAGCTGCCCCGCAGGGTCCTACCTCGTCCCAGCTCCTTGCCCGCCGCCACGCTGTCCCGGGGCACACTGAAGGTGAAGGTCTCTGCAGCAAAGCCGGGCTGGCAGGGGGCTGCCTCATCACACCGCCAGCCGCACACCTGCCCGAGAGAGGCGTCAGCCCTTTCCCTTTCTGTCCCCTCCTGCCCCCTCCGTCCCGCCCGGCGGCCCCGCACCTGGAGCAGCAGCAGCAGCACCAACACGGGGAAACGCTGCGGGGCGGTGGAACCCCACCGCCGCCCCATGGCTCAGGGACCGGGCCGGTACCGCTGCGGACGGAGCTGCCGAGCTCTGCCTCCACCGAGCGCAGGTGGGAGCGCCCCGCCCGCAGGTGTTGGCCCGCCGGGCCCGTCCCCGCCCCGCTCCGCCTCACCGGGGCCGCCCCGTCCCGCCCGCCCCGTCCCACGGCGCCTTCCACGGGCACGAGGCCCACGGGGGGATGAGGGGGCGGCGGGTTCGGTCCCCTTCCTCTTTCCTCCCTCCCTCCAGCTGTCGCCCCTTCTGCGAACTGCGGCGCTCCTTTCCGGCCCGGGACGAGCAGCGCCCTTCGGTGCCACCGTCGCCCCCGCGGCTGTAGGGGGGCAAAGTCCGCACAGCGGACGCCGGGGCTGCTCCTACCGAGCTGGGACAGCGGCTGAGCCCCGGCCGTGGCGCGGCAGCAGCTCTGCTCACTTCCCCCTAGGCACAGTGCTCAGCCGGCGTGGTTAATGCAGTGAAGTTGTTTAATGCACTTATTGCTGAGCGCCAAGCAGGCAGAGATCCCTGGGGACGGGCAGCCCTGCTCCCTGTGCTCCCCATCCCTGCACACAGGGGATCGGGCTGTGCCAGCCTGTGCTGCCATGGTACCCGGCTGAGGGGGGTCTGGCTCTGAGCCCCTGGAGCGCACGTTCCCCAGAATCACAGCACAGGAGAGAGGAAGATCTTAAAAAAGAAAAAAAAGGAAAGCCACGTCCTTTATTAAAACTTCTTTAAAACTTCTACAGATCCCAGCTCAGCCCACCAGTACCGTCTCACTACATTAAATTCATGTTTTCTTTAAAAAAAAAAAAATAATAATAATTGAAACACACAGGAGGAAGCCAAGGCTGCTTTGGGCAGCACAGGGAGTGCAGGAGAGGGGAGCATGGCCCCAAGGCACGGGCAGGGTAAGGCTTTGGGCAGCAGCAGCACTGGGGAGGGGGGGGGGGGGCTACTCGTCGTCCTCCCCGCCGCCATAGAGCTCCGCCAGCTTCTTGAAGCGGTTGCCCCACTCGTTGAGGTAGTCGTAGTCCTGGTCCTGGTCGGAGGCGGAGGAGTTGAGGGAGCTGAGCGAGGTGGCCTCCGAGCCGCCGCCCTCGTAGTCGAACACCAGCAGCGAGTCGTAGGGGGGGGCCGTGGGGTCCGTGTCGGCCGCCTTCAGGTTCTGGGGGGGGTCAGAGGAAGGGCTCACCCACTGCTCCCCCCGGCCTCAGCCCTACGGGATGGCAGCGCTGCGGGGCAGCCCAGCAGAGCAGCTCGGCCGGCTGGGGCTCACCTCGTCAATGAAGTTTCCGATCTCATCGGGGTTGGCGGGCCGGGGCCGGTACTGGGGGGCGGCCATCAGCGGGGGGGCCACATCATTGCGGATCACCTCGGGACGGGCGTCCAGGCCGCGGTGCAGCTGGCTCAGATCGTAGTCCTGTGTGGGGACGGAGCAGGATGAGGCTGACGCCCGGGGAGCACTGCAACTCCTCCCCACGACCTCGGGCCCAGCCCTCACCTGGTCCTCCTCACCCCCACCTTCCTCCCCGTAGTAGAAGATGTTGTCCCTCGTGTCGTCCTCAGGCAGCAGCAGCGGCTCCTTCACCACCTTCCTCCTCCTCACCAGGAGAAGCAGCAGCAGTAACACGACTGCAGGAGAGGAGCTGCATCAGTGCTTCATCCCCATGCCACATCCTTGGGTCCCTCCCACACCCCAGAGCAGGAGAGCACTCACGCAGCAGAGCCAGCACGGCGCCCAGCACGGCGAGCACGATGGGCACTCCGGTATCCACCCGTGGCTTCTGGGCACAGCTCTCCACCCGGCCCTGGCAGTCGCACACTTGTGCCCTGATGACGGTGACCTGGTCCTTGCCCTGGCGGTCAAAGAGCCGCAGGTAGACGCTGTACAGGTTCTGCTCCAGGGGCTCCGTCAGCCACAAGGCAACGGTGTCACCTGCATGGGATAGGTGACAAGTTTCACTTCAACACATTGGTTCATGTGGGACCAGGTGCACCACCACCTCGAGTCCCCACGTTACCTCCACTGCCAACCTCCACCGCCCAGCTGTCCCCAGAACCATGGCTCAGCTCAGCACGGAATGGCCCTGTGTTGGGGGGCAGGTCCCGGTCGGTGATGGTCAGCACCTGGGGCACGGGGCTGCGGTTACAGATGACGATGTCACGGGGCTCGGGCTCAGGGCCATGGTCATTGACATCCAGCAGGGTGAGGAGCAGCGTGCCGGTGCCTGTGGCAGGTGGCAATCCTGCAGGGAGAAGCGGGGCCGGTAAGGGACACTGCAGTGGGACTCCTATGCTGGCAGAAGGCTTTATGGGCAACACAGGCACCATTCCCTGCCCTGGGGCTGAGCGGGACGCAGCCTCCCGTGACACCAGCAGCACATGTCCCTCATGTGGGCCTGCAGCCTGATGGGAACGTGGGAACAAGGGCCCCTTTCACAGCCGCCACACTCACCGTCATCTACAGCCAGCAGCACGGCCATGTAGGTGCTGTTCTTGGTGAACGGGGACTCACGGTCCAGCTGCTCCCGTGCTGTGATGATGCCGTTCTCGGGGTGCACAGCCAGCCAGCCCGCGGGGTCACTGCCCATCACGTACCTGTGGGCACAGCGGGTTGGTCCTGCGGGGCATGGCAACAGGGATCCATCTCTGACCCCAACCCAGCCCTGCTCACTTGATGCGCTGCTGCTGGGCTCTGTCAGGATCCTGGGCTGTATAGGAGGCGAGGGGCTGCCCCAGAGGCACATCCTCCGGCACCTGGGCCAGCCGCAGCGGCGGGTCAAAGGCGGGCGCCTCGTTCACATCCTCCACACTGACCGTCACTGTGGCCGTGGCTGTGGGCAGCTTGATGGCGAAGGGAGCTTCATTGACCACGGCCACATGGAGCACGAACTGCCGCTTGGCCTCATAGTCCAGACCCTGTGGGAGGCGACAGGATAGGCAGCACCACCCAGGGCTGGTGGCTGTGGTACAGGGACAAGCAGGGGACACGCACCTTGGCCGTGCGCAGGACACCCTCATTGCTGGCAGGGTCAGTGGTGATGGTGAAGGCACCGCCCTCATTGCCACGCACGATGGAGTAGACTGCACGCCACGCTGCTGTCTGTGGCTCATCCAGGTCCGTGGTGGCCAACCGGGCCACCTCCAGCTCGGCCTCATTCTCTGGCACAGCCGCCACATACTGTGGATTAGGAATGGTCAGCAAGGAGCCCACAGCACCCGGCACACCCTGCCCACGTCACAGCCATGGTACCATTTTGGGCTCAAACTCAGGGGCGTTGTCATTGACATCCGTGATCTCAATCACAGCCAGCGCCGTCGTGGTCAGCCCCTGCCCGTCCAGGTCGGCCGCCTGCATGGTCAGCGTGTATTCCCGCACGCGCTGCGATGGACAGACAGACATCAGCACCCAGAGCCACACTGCCAGGACTGCCCTGTGGGCACGGCTCCCACCTCCCGGTCGAGGCCGCTGGCGATGACGCTGAGGGTGCCGGTGGCGCGGTTGACGGTGAACATGTGGGGATGGGGCTCTCGCGGCTCCTGGCTGAGGATGGAGTAGGCGATAACACCGTTGTAGGTCTCCACATCATCGTCAGCATCCGTGGCGTTCACCTGCATCACTGAAGTGCCTGGGGGACAACAGGGGGTCTGTGTGAGCGGGGGGGGTGCAGAGGACGGGGCAGCCTCATCCCCCAGGACGCATCCTGCAGGACGCAGAGCTTCTCCCTGCAGCACAGCCCTACCTGGCAGCGCGCCTTCGGGCACGGAGCCTCGGAACACCTCCTGTGTGAACTGAGGCTTGTTGTCATTTTGGTCCGTCACCGTCACTATGATCTCCATCGGCTCCTCCACGGGTTTGCCATTCTCAGACACGGCATGGGAGTAGAGCTGCAGGGCAGAGGGGTGAGTGTGGAGACAGCACGGCACTGGTGTGAACCCAGCGCCCCGCAGCAGGGACCCACATGGTACTTGTCGATGTGCTCCCGGTCCAGCGGCTGCGTCACCTTCATCCAGCCCGTCTCCTTCTCAATGGTGAAGATGCCCTCGGGGGGAGCATCCGCTCCCTGCCCAGTGATGCTGTAGAAAATCTTTGCCTCCCGGTCCCGGTTGGATTTGATCTGGGAGGAGATGCGGCGGTGCAGGGCTGTGCCTCCCCACTGCAGGGTGAGCAGCCCCCCACGCACCCCTCAGCCACGTTACCCCAGTCTGGGTTTCAGATCCGTGCCCATGGCTGGCATTCCGCTGCCTTCAGTGCGCACAGCCATGGCCAGCCCTGAAATCCCACCCAGACACAGCATCACTGAAACCTCGGGGGCTCCTCCATACCTGAACCAAGTTTTTAGGGAAGGGACCCCTCTCATTCTCAGGAACTTTGATGGGAGGGATCACCCAATCCCTCTTCTGCCTCCTCAGAGCGGTTTGAGCATGAAGGACATCAGGGACCTCCTGCAGGAAGGGGAGCAGTGATGGAGCGGCCGCACGCGGTGGGTTCGGGGACGGGGCTGCCGAGAGCGTTACCTGCAGGGAGCGCCTGCTGCGCATGGGGACCCACGGGCTGCTGGCATCCCGGGGAGCCACGGGCAGCGCCCCGACGTGGGGCTCCTCGATGTCATCCAGCACCACGCCGCGTCCTAAGGTCGCTGCAAGAGGCAAAGGGTCAGGGGGGCGGGAGGGGACGCAGCCCCCAGGAGCCGTCCTCAGGCCCACACGCCATCCGAACACCCGCAGGGCTCCACGTGCTCGCAGCCCAGCTCCAGGGAGAGGGATTTGGGAAGGTCAGGGCCGCTCCCAGCACGGGGGCGGGCAGCAGCAGGAGCGCGCCTCGGCTTTGTTGCGGAGATTACGGGAAATTCCTGGGCACGCAGCGCCCTGCCCCGCGCCTCCCACCTCAGCGTGTCCCCGCCTCGGGGCTCCCGGCTCCGACCCACCCCCCCCGGGCAGCGACTCCACCATCGCAGGGTCCCACACCTGCGGCCACACTGCAGCCCCGACCCCCAGCCCGGTAGAGCTGCGGGTTTAGGGGATTAGCAGCGCTAAGCCGCTCCGAGCACACTGCTGAGAGGCTGCCGGGGGCCGGGGGAGATGGGAGTGGACGAGGAGAGCTGTGCCCGCGGGTCTCTGGGTGGGGGGAAATCGCTGGAGAGTTCCCTCATCCCCATACGGAGCTGGAGCCTGGAGAGGAGCGCCGGCGGCCCTTTATGGTGGGCGATAAGGAAGATGCTGGGGCCGGAAAGGCCGCAACCACATCATGGCTGAGACACGAGCCTCCGTGCCACGGGCAGCCTCCAGCCCTGGCTTTGGAGCTGAGCTGTGCTCCAGTAGCAGCTCAGGGGAGAGAACCCCCCATTCTCGTACCCTCAGTGTTCTGGGACACTGTGCCCTCCGGCCGCGGGGCTGCACCCCCAGCCCAGCCCTGCCCTGGTGCCAGTCCCGCTGCCGACAGGAGCTGGGCCGTGGGCAGCGGCACGCAGCATCCGAGCGGGCTGAGGTCAGGGCCTGGCACGGAGAGAGCACTTACAGCGAAGTGCTTTGAGTGCTCCGCAGCCATTAGGCAGCACTGGCTGCGGCCGCGGTTCCCGAGCAGCTTCACTCCCCGGGGACGCCGACGAGTAAACACCGTGAGTGGCCCCACCGGCATCGGGACGAGTCGCTGCCCCTCCCCACCCGGATCAGTGAACGGACCCCCGGGGCAGCCGCCTCCCATCGCCCGTCCGCCGCCGACCACCGACCCGAGGGGTACCGGTGCCGTCCAGGAGCTCCCGGCCTCTACCCTCCCCACGGCCGAACTGGAGGCAACGAGGGGACCCGAACGGCACCAGCAGCCCCCTCCCACGGCCCGGGGGATGCAGCCACCAAAAGCCCGCCGAGGGCCGCCGCTCGGAGCAGAGAGCAGCCAGGAAAGGACCGCTCCCACTCCCCGGTGCGCGCGAGCAGCCCCCGCCACGCGTCCCGACGGCATCGCCGGGCCCCCTTCCCCCATACCGGTGGGGGGGCAAGATGGGAACCGCACATCGCACCAAGAGGAACTCCGTCGCTCCTGGGGCAGCCCGCCCTACCCACACGCGAGGTCCCGCACGGCGCGGCGGCACCTCCGGCCCAACGATGCTCCCCGCGCCCCGACGGCACCGCTTACCGGGAGCCGGGAGCGATCCGCGGCGCGGCCCCGGGGGGGAACACGGCCGAGCCGGGGCGGCGGCGAGCAAGAGGAGGAGGAGGAGCGGGCAGAGCCCGGAGCGCGACCCGCACATGGCCCCGCCGCCACCGAGCGCCGCGCCGCGAACCCGCCCGTTTCAACGCGCCGCTCCAGGTGAGGCCGCGGCCGCGCAGGTACCGCCCGCTCCGCCCCGCCCCGACCCCGCCCCGCACCCGCCCCGCATCTCCGGGAGCTCCGCCCGCTGCCGCCGCGCGCCCCCCGGTGCTTCCGTGCGGCCCCGTGAGAAGCGCCCCGGGACCAAGGGTGCCTTTGGCAGTGCCCGTTTCTGGCACCCCCAGATCCTTTTCCACGGAGCCGCGTGCGGTCGGTATGACCGGCAGGACCCGGCTCTTGGCCGCGTTGGACCTCATCCCGTCGGTCTCTGCCCAGCGTTGTCCTCCAGCGGTGGTGCTCCTGCAGCCCCGTGCCTGTGTCCCAACCCCGGGCTGAGTGAGCGGCTCTGGCTGGTAAAGACAGACGCAAAGAAGGCACGGAGACCCTCACCCTTTCCTCAGTAACATCGTTCCCTGGTGCACCCAGTGAAGGATGAGGGTTCACCTTGGCCCTTTTGCTGCCCAGTGCCCACGTGAGCCGAGCAGGGGAAGCACTGCCAAGGTGAAAGTCCACAATGAGGGCCGTGTCGGGTCAGCACTCAAACGAGCGCCCAGCAGGGCTAAAGCCACGTCACCCATGTCTGCCCGGCTCTTCGCTCTGCCCAGGCACCTCCGTGATGACCGTGAGCGCCACGGACGCGGACGACGCGGTGAACACCGACAACGGCATCGTCAGCTACTCCATCGTCAGCCAGCAGCCGCCCAGCCCGCACCCCCAGATGTTCACCATCGACCCGGCCAAGGGCATCATCAGCGTGCTGGGCACGGGGCTGGACCGGGAGGTGGGCGCTCTCCTCGTGCCCCACGGCAGGCACAGAGCCCACACACAGAGGGGCGGCGGGAGCGGGACGCGCTGTGGGGACGCGGGGCTCTGATGGCGTGACCTCATCTTGCAGACCACTCCCAACTACACGCTGATTGTCCAGGCCACGGACCAGGAGGGCAAGGGCCTGTCCAACACCGCCACGGCCGTCATTGAGGTCACGGATGCCAACACCCCCAGCACCGACGACATCCTGAAGACCAACAAGGTGACTTGCAGCCCTCGTGGGCAGCCCTAGTGCGGATGAGGCTCTGGGCTGTTCCCCACGGCCCAGGAGGGAGCTGGGCTCCATCACGCGGGCAGCCACACCTCAGCACTCTGCAGGAGACAGGCAGGTTGAACAAGCACAGCTCGTCCAGGTGAGACCCCAGGGGCTCAGCCCTGCTCTGGCACACCAACATTCATCTGGGCTTGGGTCCACCAGCCCTGGGGCCGCAGTGCCGGGTGCTGTGGAGGCACCTGGGAGCACTGCCCAGTGCAGAGCCGCCTGCGCGGGCCGGCCCAGCCGGGGAGGAGCGTGCTGGGATAGCGGCACTCGGCCCGGCAGCTCCGTGGGGAGGGCGGCTGGGGCAGGGGATGGCATTCTGAGTGGCAGCATCGGACGTGGGGAGCTGGAAGAGCAGAATGGAGGTAAGGCAGGTAAGCCACCGGGTGCCCTCACGTGCCTCCGGCACTCCCAGCTCAGCCAGCAGCCAAGGCCCACAGCCGGTGCTGGGCTGGAAGCAGGCACCCCCCGACTCCAGCACCCTCAGGTCAGTGTCTCTCAGCCGTCCCACCCCCTAGAGGGCAGGTGCGTTGCTCTGACCCTGCTCTGGCTGCCCGCCCCAAGCAGCCCGGGAGCACTTGCAGGGTTAATATTCACTGCACGTGACACAGTGACACTGCAGATCAGCGCAGGCTGGGTAGGCAACGGGGACATGGCTGCTTCCAGACAGCCAGCAGCATGCAGACGCGAGGCTGAGCAGGAAGCCTGGCAGGCAACCCTCCTTCCCAGCAGAACGCCCACACCGGAGGTAGCAGCGGTGCCCACAGCATGCAGGCAGCTGTTGGGCTGCAGCACGGCCCTGTGCCCCAACAGCTGGCCTCACAGTGTGGGAGGGTGGTGGGCATCTGTGTCCTGCGGGCACAGCAGGGTGGTGGGGAGGGAGAAGTGCCAGGAGGGACCCAGCTGCACAGACACCAGCTTGGGGTGCTTGGGGCACTGCCAGAAGGCTGGGGCCACTCAGGGATGGAGGGGTGCCCAGCTGTGGCAGTGCCTACCCTGGGCTCCCCACCGCCCCCACTATCCATGCTCGTGGGGCCAGTAGGCACAGCGTGGTACTAAGGGGAGATGGATGGCATAGGCACAGCCCAGCGCTGCTCCCTTCCTGTGCCATAGGCTCCAGACAAGCCCGAGATGCTGAGCGGTTCCCTGACCATCCACGTGCTGAACACAGCCACAGGGCTGCCTGCTGCCGGCCTCGCTCTGCGCCTGGCACAGCTGGCAGAGCCAGGGGGACAGTGGACAGAGCTGGCACAGAGGTAGGAGAGTCAGCAGCAAGCAGGCAGTGCAGACTGCTGCCCACATCACCAACAGCAACTACTGGAGCCAGCCACGTTCTGCTTCCTTCTGCTCTCAGGTGGACGGATGCAGATGGACGCTGTTTGCCCCTCCTGCCCCCTGGACAGGCTGAGGCTGGCACCTATAAACTGCACTTCGAGACGGCAGCTTACTGGCAGAGCCTGGGGTACAGCAGCTTCTACCCCTTTGTGGAGGTACCACGGGCTGAGCACGGGGTCTGGGGTGCTGCTAGGAGCCAGCTCTGCTCAGAGCAGGAATGCAGGGGCCCGGGTGCTGCGTCCATGCTTGCAGGAGCTCACAACCCTCCACCATGCTCCTGCTGCACTGCCAGCACTGCTTGCAGGGATGCCCAGGCTACAGGTAGAGGAAGGGGCTGCTTTTGGCCGTGACTTGAACCTACCCACCGCCTCCCTGCTCTCCCCTAGGTTGTCTTCACCATCACTGACCCAGCCCAGAAGCTGCACGTCCCGCTGCTGATCAGCCCCTACTCCTACACAACGTACCGGGGCAGTTAGGGCAAGGCTCCAGTGCCACAGGGAACCACTTGATTGATACCATTAAAGGACTCAAACAGCACCATCAGCCTCAAAAAATTCACTTTTCTTCGGGTCAGATGCTGGGAGCACGAGGCAGACACAGCCCTGCTCCCTGCCCCAGGAGCACCCGAGCACAGGAGCACCCACAGGTGCTACATGGTGTCACGTGGGCATCGCCACAAGTCCCGCGGGGCCCTGCCCCACTGCCTGTCCCACCACAGGGCTCTCCAGGGGCTTGAATCCCAGGTTGTCCAGCGGGATCCCAAAGGACGTCAGCTTTGCCTCCATTGTCTGCAGCATGTCGTTGTGTGCCTGGAAGAAAAATGCTCCATGCTCTGGGCTGCCATCCTGAAACCCAGCCTGGCCCCTCCTTGCCCGAGACACAGGCACGGTGCAGACTCCTGAATGGTGGGGGCCCCTCAGACCTTGTTTCACAGGGAAATAAGGGAATGGGGAAAACTGAAGCCTGAGCCAGTATTCCAGGGCACAAAACAGAGCAGCCAGCCCCTGATCAAGGCCTGGAGGGAAAGTTTCTGCTCTTCCTTCTGCTCCCCCAGCCCCAGGAACACAGCATAACCCAAGCCCCTTCCTCACCTTGCAGGCTCGCGCCAGCTGAAATTGCAGGTCCTCAATAGTGGCGTTCTTGGAATTGAGCACATCCTGCAAGCGGGGACAACTGTGTTAGACTTGAGTTGCTGGCACCAAGGGCACATCAGCCTGGGGCCATGCTGCAGGCCAGAGCATGTGGCACAGCATGCTGAGCAGATGCCTGCACTGGGACATGGCCGGGCAGACAGTCACCACCCTGGAGCCAGCACTGCCAGGGACAGCCAGCCCCAGGCAGAGGCAAGGCGCAGGGACCTCCCAGACCATGAGCAGTAATGCCAGCAGAGCCCCACCATCAGCATCACCTGCCTCGCTGCAAGGGGGGGCGGATGGCAGCACCTGCTGCTGCAGCACCTCCCTGCCACCACAGCACCGGGGGAATTACAGGGAGAGTCTCCCCACGATGACGCCGGTGATTGGAGGCAGCTGAGCAAAGGAATTCAGGGACCCCAGCAGCTGGGGGAGAGCGCGACGCCTCGACGCCTTCCCAGGAATGTGTTTCCTAGTCTGCTGCTGTGGCACCTGCTTGTAGGTGACAAATCCACCGTCTTGTCACACAGACTGAAAGCCTGGGGCTGTTGTTGTGTTCATCGCTAGAGCTCCATGGCAAGGGGGATTCCACGAGCATCGCTGTCACCACCACTGAGGGGACCAGGAACAGAGCAGTACAAGCAGGAGGACAGAAGGCAAGCAGCAAAGCCGAGCAGGGAACCTGCATCCCTTTTGTCTGAAGCCACTGTGAAGCAAATGCTGCTTCTCCAGTTACTGCTGTTGCATGCCCTAGGAATGCGGGTCTCTGAGCCGCCGCACCGCGCCAACGCTCTCTGCATATGTATTTTTAGCATGCCAGACATTGCAGAGCCACTGGGAACCTGTCTGTGCTGCCTCTGCAGCCAGCGAGGCCAGGAGAGAGGCATGGTGAGGTTCACCAGCAGTGGCTCCCTGCACACAGAGTGCCAGGCTCGCAGAGAAAGGCCCTTCATACAGCCCACTGCTCAGCAGCACATCCAAATGCCACCTGTCAGCACAGAGACCTGAGCAGTGCTGCCTGGGGCCACTCTCCTTGAAACAGACTCCACCTGAGCTACAGATCAGTGCCAAACGCCCACATGCCACTCTCGAGGGAGAGCCGGAGCGCCCTGCGGCACCGCAGTCATGGGTGTGCTGGGAACAACTGCCACAACAATCACAGCCCAGCTTCCTACGTGGTGCAGCCAACAGCAGAGCAGGCTGAGGTGCTTTCTGCAGTGTTCTGAGGCTGGGGACTGGCCATACAGGCAGGTATGCAACAGTGCAGAGAAGACAGGGACTGTTTCCTGCCACACAGCCAGGCTCTGCCCTTCTGCTGCCCATGCACCTCAGGACCATGCTCACACCTCTAAGGTCTGCGTTTGTCTCAGAGCGATCAGCAGAGCAGCCTCTGCCCTTCAAGAGGAGGGAAGGACAGCTTCCACAGGGCCCTGCAGCAGTGCACAGTACCTCCAGCTTGTGTGAGACCAAGGAGAGGGCGCCTGGATCCAGGTTGGAGGTTGCAAAGACCTCACTGAGCTCCACCTCCTTTTTCTCCAGGACATCGAGGAGTCCTTTCAGCTTGCGTTCCAGGAGCAAGTTCTTGAACCCAGTCTTCTGCTGCACTTCGTTAATGGCTTTGGTGAACTTCTGGTAGAGCTCATCTCGCTCTGCCTGCACCTGCTCCAAAACAGCACAGCTTCACACCATCCTCAGGACCCTTGGGGATACCTCGGCTTGCTGCAAGCCTCCCCCCGCCCTTCCTGAGCTCCTGAAGGGAGCAAAAGGGCCTTTGCTGTCCTCACACAGCAGCAGAGACACCGCGCTTTGCTCAGCCTGGCCCTGACTCCAAGCTGCTCTCCGCTGTGCCCCAAGGCACTATTTTGGATCACAGAGGGGCCCCAGCATGCAGGGGTCTCTCCTCCCCTCCTTGCAGCTGGCAAGAGTCCCTGGCTTACAGCTAGTTAATAAGTGTCCTAATTAGAATCTCTCCTCCAAAGCCTATTTCTGACTGCACTGAATATGTTGCTGCCTTAATGATGGATTGTTAACGAGGCCTCAGATCAGTGTTCATATTCCTGGGGATTTCTACGAATTGCAAATGAGCTCCGTTCTGCCTCAATAAATTTATCTGGGTTAGCTGTAAGGGAGAGGCTCAGTCTGGGAGAACTCAGTCAACAGAACATTCCTTGCAGAGGCTGCACGACAAGCAAGGAAGTGACATCCACACACTAGCAGAACGAGGGAAAGACTGTCCCCATATTTCTCCCTGTAGCGGGAGCCTCTCTATGCAGCTCCACTCCTGACCCAGTGCCACAGCCTCCCACCAGCAGGCCAGGAGGGAACCATCAGCACACGCATGATTGCTCAGTGAAGTACAAGGCTGAGCCTGTCTGCTGAGCACGGGAGACGCCAAAACTGTGATAAGCTTTGTTGGAAGCAGCAGCTAATGCGCCGCTCGGGATTAGAGATTTGGAAAGCTTTCAGCTAGGCACAGCACAGGCAGCCTCTGCTAAGTCCTGGTGCCTAAACCTCTGCATGGGGACAGGGTTTGGAGAGAGAAACAGCATGGCCAGACCCACCTGCAGTTCTCACCTTACTGAACCGCTGCTCCAGCACTTCGTGCTCCCATTGAAGGTCTTTCAGTTCCTTCTGGGTGACTTTCAGATGGGCTTTTGTGTTCTGCAAGTAGGAAGCAACAGTTACAAGAGCATGGAGGTCTCTGGGAGATGGGTGTTCTGTGTTCTGGCAAATGGGGGAGCAACCAGCAGAAGACGAGGGTTGAGAGAACACAAACAACAGCCACACCAACACCTTCCCCTCTCTGCAGCAGGGTCTGCTCTTCTTTCTTGCTGCCAGAGTCCTGGAGTCCCACCTGAGATCCTACACACACCCAACTAAGCTGAAAGGGACTCAAGGGCGTTTGCTCAGCAGTCTGGCCGAAGAACTCTTAGCTGAGCGGCAGAGGTCACTGCTGAGCAATGCCAGGAAACAGCCACGGTGAATCAGAGAAGAAAGCAAAAGGGCTCAGCAGAGCTGGCAGCTCACCATCAGAGCTTCCTTGTCCTTATTGTAGTGGGCCAACTTCTTCTGCAGCTCAAACACCTGCTCCTGGGCCTGCTGCAGGGGTTCCTTCAGTTGCTTGTTCTGGAGCAGGACATCTGCCTTCTCCTTTTCCAAGTGAGTCTCTCTCTTCTTCATCTCCTCCATCTGTTCCTGTTCTTGGGAACACAATCGCTAGCTTCTAGAGGCAGAATCTGCCCAGCTTCTCAGGTCAGGACACCCTCCCAGTGCTGGCCCAGCAAGCCACGTCTCCCTATGCACAAAAACTTTGCTTGTGTAATGGTGTACAACTCCCAGGAAAACAGAAATGCCAGGACTTCCACCAGGGAACTGGCCAGATCCAGGGCAAGTCACTGGACCAGGTCCCTGGTGACACTACACACCAGGGCTGCAGCAGCAGGATCAGAGAGCAGGCAGGCAGTACCTTCAGCAAGCTGATGAGTGCCAGGTTTTGGAAGGTGACATCGTCGTGGTAGTTCTTGAAGTCATGGAAGGCTTTCTCGTGGTTCTTCATCAGCTCATTGATCTGGCTGTTCTTCCTCTCCTCGACTTCATGGATCTCAGTCTTTCGGCGCAAGTCAAGCTCCTCCCGCAGCGCTTGCATCTTCTTGTTGTACTTGGCCTCCATCTCTGGGGAAGTGCACAGGGGGCTGAGTGAGACCCTCCCACAGAACCTACGCCTATGCACCTGGGCTCTGTTAGCAAGCAGCAGCCCAACACGTGCCACTGCAGCATTGCTTGAGGACAAGATGCTCATTAATAGCCCCGCAGCAGCTGCCACCAGCACACGGAGCAGTTATGTTGGGACCATGGAGAGCAGAGCCCAGAAATAGCATCCTGGAAACAGGGCATGGAAACGCTCCAAGGCAGCCCGTGAGAACCTGATGCATCCCCTGAGGAGGGCACTGGAGCCAGGATTTAGATCTGCAAGGACTCCTCCAGCCACCCAGCCAGCTGTGCTCAGCAGCACGGGCTGGCAGCAGCGAGAGCCCTGCCTCCACCCAGCAGCTCACACAACAGACGCCTGTCCAGGCTCCATTTTCACAGCACATTCAAGCCAGGCTGAGAGCTCAGCATGGACACCACTGTTAGCCATGCAGCCCAGCAGCTGTGAGCATAGAGAGCAAGAATCGGGGGGGGGGAAGTGGCCTCTTTCTGCTCCAGGAAGGCTAACAGCACAGAGGAGCTCCAAGGAGACTTCCTTAGCATGCAGACACAGAGGCTTCGAGCACATTCTGACCTTTCACTTGTCTCTCGAAGTCATTGCATAGCTGTGTGATCTCCTCCTCTTGTTTCTGTTAGGGAAAAGTTTAATGTTAGAGGCAGACAACTCAATCCTGAGGTGACTGCATCACTACACAGTGCAGGCTAGGAGCAGTCATTCTCCAGTTTCCGATGCCCACACAGGCCATGCCCAGCCACAGGGCTGGAGTCCAGCAGTCAGGTGCAGTCCCAGCAAGCAGATAAAACCTATGGTCAGCCACATTCCCACGGGAGCCTTTCCTGCTCCCTGGGAAAGGCTGCCACCACAGCATGAAGCTATTACCTAAGCCAGCAGTGGTGTATTAGGTTCTCCAGCTGTCCTCATGGCTTTGAGCCGTGAGGCTGACTCCTTCCTGCATGAGAATTTTCACAGGACTTGCCCCAGGAACCCATCCTCCCTGTTTGTGCACTCTTTCCAGTGCCTCTCAAGTACATCTGACACTGGCATCTGCGGGAAACCCCACTCCCCCCTCACCAAGACACCAGAGGACGCAGTCTCCTGCTCGCACACCAGGGACCCACCACTTTCCTCTGCAGCAAAGGCACTTGTCCAGTCCCTGCTGCCCTGCCAGACACCTACCAGGCGCAGGTTTTTCACCACCACCTCGTTGGCCAGCTCTTGCTCCTTCAGGTCCACCTTCAAGGAACGCATCTCTTTGCGCAGCTCTGTCTCCTGAGCCCAGTGATCCTTCTGGGCCCGTTTCATGGACAAGGTACCCTCTGCTTTCAGCTCGGTCAGGTTTTCCTGGTGTTCATACAACAAGTGCTTCACCTTCTGCTTGTAAACCTGAAAACAAGCCAGAGAACAGGTGAGAGACATCAGCAGGAGCCAACAGGAAAACATCCAGAGTCTGGATATGAACTGAGACACTCCTGACTTGAACCCAGCCCAGCTGCTCCCCCTCTGTCTCCTTCCCTCGTCTCCTCAGACCTGCTGACTCTCTCCCAGGGCACGAGGAAAGGATCTCGCCCTCCCACCTTGATCTCCACTTGGTGCCGCTCCTCCGCCTCCTCCATCTCCCTGTCCTTGTTACGCAGCTCCGCTTTCTTCTCCTCCAGCTGCCTTCGGGTGATCTCCCAGAAGGTGTGAATCTTGTCACGCTCCAGCTGGAAGTAGTTGCGCTCTTCCCGTTCCCGGTCCAGCTCCTTCCGGAGACGCGTGATGTGCTCCTGCAGCTGCAAAGCAAAGAAGATAAGAGATGTAGGGGGAGAAGGGGCGCAGCTCCCTTGAAAAGAGCCAGAGATATCAATCGTGAGCTCTGTTGCAAGGCTGGAGGACACGGTAGTCTTTATTGAGACAGAAAAGGGAGAATAGAAGGAGGGAAGTGCTCAGGATTTGACAAATGACCCCCGAAAAAGAGTGACAAGATCTCTTCCTATCATAAGCAGACAGGGTTCAGGCATTCCATCTCACATTCTCAGATGCTAAATAACACTGAGACATGCAAGATCTTATCTGCAGAGCAAGGTGCCCCAGAACAGTGCCATCTCTTCCTGTGTTTGTAGGACATCCAGGGCAGCAGGCCCATGTTGGGCAGCTATGGCCTCTGCCTGTCCTCACTGACCCTGGGGGAGCCTCCCACTCCCAAAGCAGCACTATTTGGGATATGTTGAGAGTTCAGCAGGCTGCAAAGCAGAGCTGTAGACTCAGAGATCAGAGGGTTGAGCACAATAGCCTGCAGAGAAGAAGCTGCTCATACCAGAAAGGTAAAGGAACTCCAGTTACATGAGGGAACAGCCAGATGGAAGCAGAAAATGCAGGAAGAAACATGGATTCTAACAGAACTGGTCAGCTTACTTCCTACAGGAAAACACCATAAAACATAAAGCACTTATCAAATAATATTCTCACCAGAGGTACTTTGCCAAAACATTTCCACACTTAGGAGGAGACAGCACAAGAAAACAGGATTATGGGATGAGGGGAAACGGATGAGGGCACAAGGCAGGAGAGCAGAGTGCCACAGGACAGCAGAAGCAGGGCAGGATGAGGTAGCCACTCTGTCCAGGGAAAGCTCTGAGCAGCCTTTGTGGGGCCACACACCCAGCCCTGATGTCAGCAATGAAATGAACACCGCCTGCTGTCCCCAGATCCCACTGCCACCTGTCATCCCTGGGGCCTCAGCCAGGCACCATGGTGCAAGGGAACCACTCACCTGCTCCTTGCTCATCTCTTCCAGGGACACAGCATCCACCGCTGCTGGGGCTTTGCCCCCCTTCCCCTTTTTTCCAGCTTGCTTTTTGGGTGCCTGCAAAAAGAGAAGAAAACACGAGAGTTGTGAGCACTCGACTAGAAGCTGTGCTGCACAATGCCCACAGCCCGGCTGCACAGCATACCTGCTGCCATGGCGGGGTGAAACGGGTGCTGCATTCTGCCCAGGACCGGGATCAGGATCGGGACCGGGACCCCTCCCCAAGGCACGCCCCACAGAGGGAAGGCCCAGGCACAACGCAACCAACGCTTCCCTCAGCACCGAGCCACAGGGCATCGCTCCCACCACCCAACCCAGGCCGGCTCCGGTTCCCAGACTTCCCACGCCCGGCTCCGGCCGCCAGGCTAAGGGCTGAAGCCCCCGCGGCCCCGCCACGCCCAGCCCGGCCCCTCACCATGGCGGCGACAGCAGCTGCGCGGTCTCCCAGGCAACGCTCGGGCAGATCTCGCGAGAGTTGCGCGGGAGCAGACACGCCCCCTAGCAACGCGGGGCCCGGCCTTAGCAACGGGCGGTGGGGCCCGCTCCAGCCCGGCCTTCCAGCGAGCCCGGCCCTCCGCCACCCGGGGTCCCGGGCCGTCCCGCAGTCACGCAGCGCCGCTCCGTCACCTCTCGGCCCGTGCTGTCCCGCTTACCCCCACCGGGGGCTCTCGAGGGGCCGCAGCGCAGCGGGCCGTGCCCCCGGCCCCACAGCGCCCGGCTCGTGCCCTCCGCGTCCCGCGGCCCCGATGCCGCTCTGCACCCCCGGACCACTTGCGAGCCTCCCCGCACCCCGGCATCCAGCCGCACCCCCGGCTCTACCCACGCCGCGGCCCCCAACGCACCCCCGGTGCCTCCCGCCCCGCTGAGCCCCCCCCGAGCTCCCCCCCGGCTCCGGCCTCCGCCCCCGGCCCGCCCTCGGCCCCACCTCCGCCGCGGCGGGCAGGAGCGTGCGGGCTGCGGGCTGGCACCGGGCCCGCCCCGCCCCGCCCAGCACCGGCACCGGCACCGGCACCGGCTCGGCCCATGGAGGCTCCGGGAGCGGGCGGTACCGCAGGTGAGCGGGGATGGGATGGGTTGGAGTGAGGTGGCCGTCATCGCGACATCGGGCCGGGCAGGGCACGGGGGAATTTCGTGAGGGGGGGGGGGGGGGGGGGGGGGTAGGTGTGCAAGGGGTGTGTGTGTGTGTGTGCAGGGGGTGTGTCCGAGCGGGGTGCATACGTGCGCAACGGGAGCATGAAGGTGGCTGTGAGGTGGGGACGTGGAGCGGGGCACATCTCACCCCCCTGCCCTTTCTGAACCCCCCCCCTCCCCCTCGCGCTGAGCGGTTTAGGAGGGCTGAGATGTGCCCCAGGGAGTGAGAGAGATGGGGCTGCCACCTGCCTGCAGGCAGCGGTGTGACGCTTGTGGACACTGGCGGTGGCCGTAATGCTGCACCCGGGGGTTCGTAGCGTCGCGGTGGTGCTCGAGTGGCATCGTGCGTCTCCTGCACACGCCCATCCCTCCTGCGTGTGCCCTGCGCGTGGCTGTGCCACCGCCGTGCTGACAGTCCCGGCCATGCCCTCCCACCTCACTTGGTCTTTGAGGTGGGTTGGGGACCCTGGTGGGGTGACCGGAGCCCCCCGCTGGGGTGACCGGAGCCCGCTGCTGTCTCACTCTGCGGTTGACGTGAGTCAGCAGCGCACTGAGCCCTGATGCTGGCCCTGCTCCTCGCCAGGAGACAGCCGGTGAGCCCGAGCGGAGCGGCACGGAGACGACATGCAGACGGGGGCCAGAGGGGATTGCTGCGGCAGGGACCGGCACCCCGGTGGGTGGGGGCTCCGCCGGAGGGAGCAGGGATGGGATGATGGAGGGGGGGACGTGCTCTGGATGGTGGTTACCCACCCTGAGGATGAGGTTGGGGAAAAGGAACGTGCATGGCAATTCCTGGCCAAAGAGCAGGGTGGGGATCTGGTTTCCCAGATAGAGGGTAGGTGGTGATAGTGATGGGTGTCCTGTCCTACCTTGCAGGGCTGGGACATGGTGTTGGGACAGTTGCATGGGCATCGTACTGCTTCCTTGTCAAATGCCATTGTAATTTCTCTTTCCCTCTGCTGGTTTGCCTTTGGGCAGCGGGATTTCTGTCCCCTGCCCACCACAGTGTCAGCTGCCTGGGGAAAGGAGGTGATGCCCTGTCCCCTGTGAGCCTGTTCCCGTACCATCTCACCCACCATCTCACCTGGTGGCAGGGCCCAGTGGTGTGTAGCTGGCTTCAGCTGTGACACCAAGTGGACCAGGAGCCACAGTGCCCGGTGCTGCCCTCCCCCTTTCCCCCAACCCCCCCCACACAGGGTCTCTTGCCCTGCTCGGTGCCAGCTCAGCCCCGGCTGTCCCTGAAGAGGGGCTTCCCAGGCACAGATCGTGCTGCCTCTGCCCAGCCCCGCCAGCTCTTCCCAGGAGACAAAACGCCACTTGTCTGGGCTCCGGTCTCTGAACAGGCTGTGCTTTTGTCTCGCCGACACAAAGGGGCTGTGAGGGGCGGGGGGCTGCCGGCTGCGGGGAATGGGGCTGATGGGGCCCATGGCAGCTGCCCCAGAAAGCATCGCCTGTCCTGCAGGGGGCACAGGGCTGGGGAGCTGCTGCCCCTTCCACCGGAGGGGCACCCAGAGTGGTGGCATCAGGGCCACAGAAGGGAGCTGCCTTTGCTGCCCCAGCCCTGCACCTACACAGCAGGTGCCGGTTCTGCAGAGCTGGGCAAAGAGGCACTGGCCCCAGAGCGAACAGCAGGGACCCCCACCCCTGGGACAGCTGAGGAGACCACCGACGCCACCACAGAGGAACAGGGTGGCATCCCCATTCCCACTGCCAGCCTGCTGCAGGTCACCGAAAGGAGACGTGAGTGCAGCCCCTGCACACCCACTGCCTTCCCCTGTGTCCCCTCTTGCCCCTACGGTCCCTGCCCGCCCCGAGCCAGTCACTGTCATCTCCCCTCCCCACCTCCCCACCCCTTGTCCCTCCCTGGATCACTACCCAGCCCTCTCAGATCCCACGGGGCCCCCATCTCAGCACCAGGGGCTCTGTCTGGCAGCTGCCCACCCGCAGTCCTGCTCCCCACAGAGCCACTGAGCAGCGTGTCCTCGCTGGAGGTGCACTTTGACCTGCTGGACCTCACAGAGCTGACCGACATGTCGGACCAGGAGCTGGCCGAGGTCTTCGCCGATTCTGATGAGGAGAACGTGGCCAGCGAGTCGCCTAGCGGTGAGTGAACGTCCTCCTGCACCCTGCTCCTCTGCTGTAGCCAGGAGGCACGGGCTGAGCTGACTGTCCCCATAGGGCTGCACCCGCAGGCTATGCCACGGGCAGGGTACCTGCGCTCCCCCTCCTGGACCCGTGCACGCGAGCATGGCCGGGAGAAGAAGCACCTCAGCGACTCAGAGCTGCAACCAGGCACCCTGGACACTTTCCTGGCAGTGGAGCAGCCTCAGCAGGAGTAGGAGCTGCCCCGGCTGGTGGGGACAGACACGGGGACACGCAGAGATGTGTGCTTTGCCTTGTCCCCAGCTCCTTCTGACCACGTTCCCCACTCCCTGCCCCAGGAAAAGCCGTGCAGGACAAAGGACTCGCTATGGAACATGTTGTGTGACCGGGCGCTGCGGGGTGGCAGCTTCAGACTGTGGGTACCAAGCAATGCCAAAGCTGGTGGCTCAGTGGGGAGGGGGAACTGGCCTCCTCAGCCCTGTAGCACAATGGGGGCTGCACTACCCGGCCCCCACCTCCTTTCCACCACGGTCCCAGCATGGCAGGACCAGGAGCTGTGCAGTGTCTGCACTGTACGGCCCAGAGCCATGTAGCAGTTGTGTGTACTGGTAAAACCAACCAACCCATGGCCACTGCTCTGCCCCGTGTCCATTGCTGCAGGGAAGGGGAGATGCAACCCCTGTATGGGGTGGGGGCTGCCAGGAGCAGCAGGTTACAGGGAGGGGGGATGTGGGGAGCCTCTGCAGGAGCAGAACTGAGCATAGGGAAAGCTAGGAGGAGGGATGCAGGGGAGCTGGCACTGGGGCAGAGCCAGACCTCATCCATGAGGGCCCATCCCACTGCTTCCACAGTGCCCACCAAAGCTCCCTCAGCCCTGCCCCCCTTCTTCCAGGAGCGGCCCCAGGGCAGAATTGTGACTGGCGCTGTGCAAAGAGGCGACGCAGCTGCGACAGACCGGGCAAGTGTTGCAGGAGTGGTGTTGGGGGACAGCATGTGCAGTAGGGGCTCCCGCGAGCAGCACTGAGCAATTGCAAAAGCAGAGGCAGTGGCGTGCCCCACCCCTGACGTAGTGTCACACACCAGCACTGCCCTTAAACCCCCCCTCAGCATCCCTCAGCCCCGGCCTTCAGTGTTCTAATGTGTCCCGTAATGCAGGGGAGGAAGAAGAGATGCTTCCCCCCCCCGACCAGCAGCATCCAACCAGGCAGCGTTCACCCAGAGCACGTGGCTGCACGTGGTGGCTGCCGGCAGCCCCACCAGGGTAGGACGCCCCGGTTCTCCCCCAGACGCCATGCCCAGCCCTTTGGGAGCACGTGGAAACCTCAGCCCCATCCAGGCACCCTCGCCCTTCCTGGAAGAGCCCGTTCTTCCGGCTCTGCCAGCACGCTCGCCCACACAACGTGGCTGCAAAGTGCAGGACCCCCACCCAGCACAAGTCCTGGCCCCACGTGAGTGGCAGAAGTGAAGTTTGCAGGGCAGCCTCTGCGGCCATCTGTCCATCGCGGGGCCCCGGTGGCCGTGGAGACGGGCCCTCGCTTAGGGCTCTGCCTCGGCCACAGAGTCCTGGAAGAGGGACTGCTTGCGCAGGCTCAGCCGGGCGCACTTGGGGCACGTGGTGGAGTTGTCGTAGTAGCAGTCCCTGCGGGGAAGGGATGCTCTGGGGAATGCTAGGAAGCACGAAGGTCCTGGAACCACCCGTCCCTCCCCCCCTGCAGCACCCAAAGGGATGTAGGTGGCTCCAGACAAGGCACCCACCATACCTGTGGAAGACGGCGGAGCAGTCAGTGCACACTGAGGTGTGGCTGTCAAAGGGGAAAAGCACATCGCCCTCCTTGCAAAGCTCACACACAAAGCCTTTTGCCTGGCAACGCTGGGGTGAGAAAAAACAGATGAGCCCCTGGTACCTGGGTGCTGACAAGGACCTCCAGGTCTTCGCCAGTGCCCTCCTTACGGCTCCAGTCCAGATCTCAGCCCAGGTTGCCCTGCAGCACCGCCCCACTCACCTCGCAGTCCAGCTTGATGTGCTTGGCGAAGAGGGTGTGGATCTCAGTTAGGGAGCAGCTCAGGCGCCCAGCCTCGATGTCAATGAGGTCCTGCAGCGAGTACATCTCGTCGTTCTCTACAAAGTGCTGTCGGTCCTGCAGCTGCACAGGCAGGCAGATGTCACTGCTGTGCCCACATACCCAGGGCCTCCCCCCTGCCCGCCACCGGGCCTGACCTGCAGCAGCAGCCGTGCCTCCATTGCCTCCTTGCAGGTGATGAAGTATGGCTTCATAAGCAGGATGTCCTGGCGCAGCTTCTGTGGGGGCGCCAGGGCCGGGGATGCGATGGGAGTGGGGAGAGAGACAGGGAGAAGGTGGTGGCAGGGTCAGGATGGAGACAGGGACAGGGATGAGAGGTGTTTTGTGGGAACGGGACAGGATAAGGGTGGGCATCGGGGGAGGACGGCACCAGGACAAGGCTGGGTCAGTCCCAGCCCTGCAGTTCAGGCACCCTCCCAGCTTATCCTTCATGTTGCCACTACCCCGTGTCACCCTCCCACCCGCGGCCACACCACGCTCACCCGGATCTCCACCAGCTCCTCCACGTAGTTGAAGAGCAGAGGGTTGATCTCCCGCAGCTTCAGCACAGGCCGTGACACCATCAGCGCCAGGTACCGCATGCTGCAGCGGGACACCTGCACATACACTGCTGTCACACTGCGTGCAGGGCACAGCTTGAGCCCTCTACCCCTGGCCCAACGGACTTGGCTCTGAGAGACCCCACAGCCAGAGCACAGCCTTGCAAGTGTCTTCCAGCCAGCGACACAGTCCCCAGGGACCCCTGCCTGCGGACACAGCCTCCCAAGTGATCCCTGAGTCCCCTGTGCCCCCCACCAGCACCGCAGGCACCTTGCGGGGCTCGAAGTCCCAGTTGTGGATGGCGCGGGCGGGGACGACAGCCAGGTCATTCCAGTGACAGCTGCTGCAGTAGTAGAGGCCGGTGTAGTCGCACTGTCGGGCCTCGCTGGGCACCCCCCCTGCAGTGAGGCACACATCGGTACCAGCACCCACACTGCCACCACCACCCCAAAAACATCCCCCAGCCCCAGCCTCCAGCTTCCCCCAGCCCCACACGCCTCCCAGATTGCCCCACAGCCACAGCCCTCGGTGCCTTACTGAGGGCGATGGGGGCCCGGCACTCGGCACAGCGGTAGTCCTGGCTGTCCAGCCCGCTCTCAGGGCAGATGCTGAGCTGGTACTCGGCCTGGTGGCTCACCTTGGACCTGACGCAGGGCTTGGTGACCAGGGGCAGGCACTTGCTGTGGCACCGATAGTAGCACCCTGCGGGCAGGTGGTTGTCAGCTCAGAGCTGCGGGGGGACTGCAGGGAGGTGTCAGTGCCCCCAACCCACCTGTACAGGTATACCAGGTCTGGATGAGGCCCCAGATGATGGTGCTGCACTTGTCACACATCTGCTTGACGCTCTTGCTCTTCTCCTTGTAGAATCGGTGCTCCAGCACCACGCGGATGTTGGGCTCCTCTTCATCAGGGTCCTTTGGGAGGGGGGAGGTGTCAACACAGCCCTCTGGTGCCCTCTGGACCCTCAGAGTCCTCCCAGGACCCTCACCTCCCTCCCAAGACATTCAGAGCCCCATTCCCTCAGGGTCTTCCCTTGAAACATCAGAACAACCCCAGGACTCTCAGATCCCTTCCCTAAGATCCTTGTCCCTATCCTCCTGGACCCCCAGCTCCCTGCCCCCAAAACCCCCTCTCAACCCTCACAGTCCCCTCCATGACCTTCAGAGATCTGCCAGGATGCTCAGATCCACACTCTTGCACTCCCATCCTCCACCCCAGGACCCTCAGCCTCCTCAGGCCCTCCCTCAGACCCTCCTCAGGACCCTCAGGGTCCTGACCTTCAGAACCCCTCCCTGGACCCTCGGTACCCTTCCCCACCACTTATCCCTCTCCAGAACACCCCCCAGCATCCCTAGGGCTCCCCGCAGGTCCTTCAGAGCCCTTCCCAAGGACACTCATCCCACCCAGGACCCCCGCAGGATCTTCAGACCCCCCCCCCCCCCCGTGACCCTCGGCGTTCACACCGCCTTCAGAGCTGCCCCGGGACCCCCGCAGCCCCACCTGCAGCTCCTGCAGTTTGAGGCGGAGGTGGATGAGCCGCACCACCGCGTCCTTCTGCCGCTCCGAGTGTTCGGGCAGCGCCAGGATGGCGCGGCGGCACTCCTCGATGGCGCGGCGCAGCTGCTGCACGTCGGGCGCCAGGATGAGACCCTGCGGCGGGGGCGACCGGGAGGAGAACGGGAGGAAGGTGAACCGCAGCCCCCGGCGGCGCCGCCGCATCCCCCGGCCCTACCGCCCCCACTCACCACGGGCCGAGAGAAGTGGTCCTCCGCCAGGCCCAGGTCCATGGGCCGCTCCGAGCCCTCCCCGTCTCCCTGGCCCGGTTCGTGCCGCCGGGCCGCATCCAGCGGGGGAGCACCGGGAGGCAGCGGATCGTCCTCGCCCGCCCCGCCGCCACCACCACCACCACCACCACCGGGAGGCTCCGGGCCCTTGTTGAAGGGGTTGAGGTGCGCCTGCCGGAACCGCGCCAGCCTCTCGTCGTACGCCATCGCCCTGCGGGACGCGGCACCGGCACCCCGGGGCACCGCCCGCACCGGCACCGGCACCGGGCCGCCAGGGGGCGGGGACAGCGCCGAGCCACGCCCACCGCTCGGCCCGCCTCTCCCTCTAGCGCCCCCTGTCGGCCGGCGGAGCGCACAGCGCTGGGTGGGGCTGCGGACGGCCTCGGGTCCCGTGGATCCCGTGCCCCCCCCACCTCGCAGCCCATTGTCTGCGCAGCACCGCCGTCCTGCAGCCCCCGCCGCACGCCCAGAGGAAGGTGGGCCTCACCAGCACCAAAAAGAGACTAGGGGAGACGCTTTAGCACCGAAGAAGGAGCAGGGAATCTCCCATAGAAAGAGTAGGAAACCCGTATTGCTCAGGCTCTGTGTGTCAGGGTGCCCCTGGCTCCCTTAGAGCCTAAGACGGCCCTACATGGTCCAGGGACACTGCTGGGCCCGTGCAGAGTGCTTGGGGCAGGAGACAGGGACAGAGCCCACATGGAAGGGGGCACAGTGCAGCCTGGGGGAGCTTTGCAGCAGTGCATGGGGTGGCACTCAGCATTACGTGAGCAGAATTTGGGCATGGCCCCAGTGGGATCTCGTGGTCCCCAATTTCCCTTCCATTATGGGTTTAAAAGGAAATATTACACCCTCCTCCCGCTGCCCCTTTACTCACCCTCCCCGTATGAGCCCCCTCCTCCCCATACCAGAAACCAGAGCCAGGAGTAACCGGACAGCCATAAATTTATTGAGTATTCAAAAAAAATATGAGACACAAACAGTAAAAAACAAAAAAAGGGGAAAAGGGGAGGCCATAGGGAAGGGGCACAGGAGGGGTTGAGCTAACATGGGGCTGAGGGGAGCAGACACCAAGGGGCGAGGCCAGGGCCCCCCCGAAGCAGCGAGTGCGGGGCCGTCACTTGGCACCCTGTGCCTCCGACTCCTCCTCATCATCCTCGTACATCTCGCCCTCCTCCTCGGCCGTGGCATCCTGGTACTGCTGGTACTCTGACACCAGGTCATTCATGTTGCTCTCCGCCTCGGTGAACTCCATCTCGTCCATTCCCTCCCCTGTGTACCAATGCAGGAAGGCCTTGCGGCGGAACATGGCGGTGAACTGCTCCGAGATGCGCTTGAAGAGCTCCTGGATGGCCGTGCTGTTGCCGATGAAGGTGGAGGACATCTTGAGGCCGCGGGGTGGGATGTCACACACTGCAACTTTGACGTTGTTGGGGATCCACTCCACGAAGTAGGAGCTGTTCTTGCTCTGGATGGCCAGCATCTGCTCGTCCACCTCCTTCATGGACATGCGGCCGCGGAAGACGGTGGCCACGGTGAGGTAGCGGCCGTGGCGCGGGTCGCAGGCGGCCATCATGTTCTTGGCATCAAACATCTGCTGGGTGAGCTCGGGGACGGTGAGGGCACGGTACTGCTGGCTGCCACGTGCTGTCAGCGGGGCGAAGCCAGGCATGAAGAAGTGAAGGCGTGGGAAGGGCACCATGTTGACGGCCAGCTTGCGCAGGTCAGCATTGAGCTGCCCGGGGAAGCGCAGCGAGGTGGTGACGCCGCTCATGGTGGCCGAGACGAGGTGGTTGAGGTCTCCATAGGTTGGGGTGGCCAACTTGAGCGTGCGGAAGCAGATGTCGTACAGCGCCTCGTTGTCGATGCAGTAGGTCTCATCTGTGTTCTCCACCAGTTGATGGATGGAGAGCGTGGCGTTGTAGGGTTCCACCACCGTATCCGACACCTTGGGGGACGGCACCACGCTGAAAGTGTTCATGATGCGGTCGGGGTACTCCTCACGCACCTTGCTGATCAGCAGCGTGCCCATGCCTGAGCCCGTGCCCCCACCCAGGGAGTGGGTCAGCTGGAAGCCCTGCAGGCAGTCGCAGTTCTCACACTCCTTCCGCACCACGTCCAGCACCGAGTCCACCAGCTCGGCCCCCTCCGTGTAATGCCCCTTGGCCCAGTTGTTGCCGGCCCCGCTCTGACCTGGGGATGGGGACACACAAAGGGTGCATTGGGCGGAGGGCACGGTGCCAGGATTTGGGGTTGGGTTGGAGCCGCGAGGATGCGCCCGCAGGCAGCCCCAGGGGTGTCCCCTCCCGGTGTGGGGTGCGGCCACCTACCGAAAATGAAGTTGTCGGGGCGGAAGAGGTGCCCGAAGGCACCCGAGCGCACGCTGTCCATCGTGCCCGGCTCCAGATCCACCAGGATGGCGCGAGGCACGTACTTGTGAGCTGCAGAGAGACCGCGTGGCGTGCCAGAGGGAACAGGCACCACCCAACACCGCCACGGGGAAGGGGGTGCACATCCGTGCCCCAAAACACAGGGACCTCTGAGGCTGGGTCCTTTCACTGTGTCCTCTCCTCCTCTAAACAAAGGAGTTCCCATTGGGTTCAGTGGCAATTTCCACTTCCCCCTTCTCACCCCCCAAACTACAGAGTCCCGTGGGGTCGGTCCATTCATTTCGTGTCCCCCTCATCCCCCTCAAAAAAGAAAACAACAATAAAAAACCAAACACCTCTAACGAGCTTCATGGGATCTATTCATGTACCACAGTGCTCAGTGCATTGACGCTTCCCTCCCTTTCGTCCCCACAGCATAGGATCCCCATGGGGCTGGGTGCATTCCCCCCTGCTCTCAAAACCATCGGTTCCCATAGGACTGAGGGCAGGCGTCTGTCCCAGCGTGGACCATGGCCATGGGAGGGAGCGTGGGGACAGGAGGTGGTGGGGTCCATGCGGAGGGGGGGTGTGCCACTTACAGGAGGCCTCATTGTAATAGACGCTGATTCGCTCCAGCTGCAGGTCCGAGTCGCCCACGTAGTTGCCGCTGGGGTCTATGCCATGCTCATCGCTGATCACCTCCCAGAACTGGGGGGGTGGGGGGGAGAGGGCGGGGGTACGGGGTCAGCATCTCCTGGTGTCGTCCTCCCCCCCCCCCCCCCGGACCCCCGCGCCGGTAAAGCCGCAACCCAAGGCCGGGATAGGAGGAGGGGAGGATGGGGGGGCAGCCGCACCCGGGTTCCCCACCCCAGGCTGGGTGCGAATCCCGCACCGGGCGGGGGGGCGCAGCGAGTCCCGCATCCCGGGGGGGCGCAGCCCCACCCCGCAGCCGCAGCTCCGTCCTCAGGGCGGGCGCTGTCCGCGGTGCTGAAGGGCGACGGCGGCGCCGGAACCCGCGGGCGGCGGCGGCGGACAAAGGAGCGGGGCGGGGCCCTTTGTCCTCCCGGTGCGGCGGGGACGGAGGCGATGCGGGGGGGGGAGGGGGGGCCTTTGTCCGCCCCGCCGTTACCTTGGCGCCGATCTGGTTGCCGCATTGCCCCGCTTGGATGTGGACGATCTCCCTCATGGTGCGGCCGGACCGGAGCGGGTCTGGAGCGGAGCGGCACCGAGAGCGGAGCGGCACCGGGAGCGCGGGGGGCGGTTCCGCCGCCGCCGCCGCCTTTATAGCCGCCCCGCGCCGCACCGGGCCGGGCGCTGACGTCACCGTCGCTCCGCCGCCAATCATCGGCCTCCGCCGCAGCGCTGCAACTGCCCCTGCGGCACCGGCGCCGCCGCCGCCCCGCCCAGCCCCGCCCGTCCCGACCCGACCCGGCCCGGTCCGATTCGCTCCTGCCGGGTTCGACCCCGCTGCACTGCGCGGCCCCGGCAGCGGCCCGAGCCGACCCGGCGGCACCGCGCTGCTGGAGCATCCCCGGGGACGCGGGCACGGCCAGGGGGACACACGGAGAGGGGAGGGGGACGCGAGGTGGGGGAGGGGTGTCTGCAGCCATTGTGGGGGAAGGGAGGGGACCCGCCCACTCGGACACGCGTGCGGGACCCCGCATCGGAGCTTGGGTGCCGGCACGGCGATGGGGTGCCCCCCGGACTCGCCCGAGCATCGCTTAGGGTGGGATCACGATCCGCTCCGTGTCCCGGGGAAAAAGGAGCCAACGCCCACCGGGGGCTGTGCGCGGGGGGGCCGTACCGGGGGAGGGCGCGGTGTCCCGGAGTCCCGCGGACCGCAGCGTGCGCTGCCGTAGAACAAAGGCGATGGCATTCGCCAAAGGAGCCGCCTTTGTCCCCAGGTGGTCGCGCTCCGCAGCCCCCACCCCCCGGTGTTGCCCCTCGGGGGCCGCCGGATTCCCCCATGGCGCTGGTGCCGGAACCGGTGCTTGCATTGCTGCTGTCGGGCAGCGATCTGTCTGCGAGTGAACGTGGGGCACAGGCTGGTGAGAAGCATCCAGGTGCCGGTGCTCAGCGCTGCCCCACACCCAGCACCCACGGCCACGCGTGGTGCCAGGCACACATCACTGCAAAGAGGCTTTATTTGGGAGTGCGAGGTCAGGCAGCCCAACCCCGGCTGCATTGGGCCACCCAGGGGAAACCCAACGGTGCGTCCATCTGTCCATCCACCCATCAGTCCGTCCGTCCATCCATCCATCCATCCATCCATCCTCCTGTCTGTGCCGCCGCTTACCAGGAGCACAGCACCACCTCCCTCAGCGTCCGCCGGAGCTCCTGGCTCCGGAAGGCGTAGATCAGGGGATCAACCACTGAATTGCAGATGATGAGGATGAGGAAGAGGTTGAAATAGCTGAAGAAGCAGGTGCAGAAGGGGTTGGTGGGGCAGGTGACGATGAGGATGAGGTGGAAGAAGAAGGGCCCCCAGCAGATGAAGAAGACTCCCAGCAGGATGGTGAGCGTGACGGCTCCCTTCAGACTGCTGGTGCGGTAGATGGTGGGCTGCTTCTGCTGGCTGGAGATGTTGCGCACGTGATGGCGAGCCAGCGCGAACATGTGAATGTAGAGCACCAGCATGAGGACCAGCATGAAGAGGAAGAAGCCGATGAGGCAGAGCAGGATGGCGTTGTTGCGGTAGTAGGTGATGAAGACGGTGCTGGAGACGGTGCTGGCCAGCCAGACGCTGGCCATGGTGACCACGGCGCGCTGCAGCGTCATGATGCTGTGGTAGCGCAGTGCATAGAAGATGGTGATGTAGCGGTCCACGGCGATGACCCCCAGGAAGGAGAGGGAGGACACGACGGAGCTGCAGATGAGCATGTCGATGACGTTGTCCATGTGGCGGACGATGCTGGCGCGGATCACCAGCACGCCGTGCTCCATCAGCAGCATGAAGAGCGTCTCGGCCAGGTTGCTGACGCTCACCAGCATGTCGGAGACGGCCAGGCAGCAGATGAAGTAGTACATGGGAGAGTGCAGATTCCTGTTCTTGAGGATGGCGGCCACCACCAGCAGGTTCTCCACCAGGCTCACCAGCCCCAGTGTCAGGAAGAGTTCATTGGGGATGTCCAGCCCCTGGCACCAGGCGCCGCCGGCCCCAGCTGTGGCGTTGCTCTGGTTGCCTTCACTGGCGTTCCAGGGCTCGCGCAGCAGGCGCAGGGGGGCCAGCGTCGACATGGCCCCGGCCTCAGCCCCAGGGACCCCCTGGCTGGGGGCCGTGGCCCTGAGCACAACCGCAGCGCCCGCAGAGTCGCTGTGCTCCCAATCGGCCCCACCAGCGCTCACACAGTGCCCGACCACGAGGCAGAAGGGATGTGGGCACCTCTGTGCCCCAGACACAAGGATGGGGAAGGAGTCCCCCACCCAGGAGCCCACTGGGCAGCAGCGCAGGGACTCTGCTGTCTCAGCCGCCTCCCCACCAGCACTGCCTGGCGTATCCGGAGCTCAGCGATGGTGATGGGGAAGAAAGGGCCCTTTCTCTGTCCTAATTTAAAGCTGGCTCCCTCGGCTCCTCCTCCTGAGAAGGGTGGGCACGCACATGACGGCCTGTGCCCGGGTAGCTGGGGGCTGAGCCGTGTTGGGGCACTGTGCACAACGGGGTCTCTGTGCGCCTTGGGGTCCCGCATGCCCCAGGGCTGGGCATGCCATCTGGGGGCCGTGCAACACAGCGGGGTTTCCCTGAACCCTTTGGGAACCTGATGCGCTGGGGCTGTGCACATTGGAGCTCCCACACACCATGGGGTTTTGCATGCCCTGGGGACCCCACAACAAGGGCAGCGTGAGGGGGCAGAGCCCATATGCGGCCACAGCCACGTTCCCCCAAGTGTCCCTGGGAGGGTGCCGTGCTGTGGGCTGCGATGCACCCCCTGGGGATTGTCAAAGGAGCAATTGAGTGCGGTCCCGTGTTGTGGCCGTTCGCGGTCTCTCGCGCAGCACGGTGCCCCTGGGAGTTTGGGCGGGCTGGGGATGCGGGACCCATCTGACCATCATGTGCCTTCGGCTCACGGTTGATGCCTGGAGCTGCTCAGCCACCAAAGAGCCATTCAGGGCTCCATCCACTGGCTGTTTCCACCGGATGCTTCCACCCCATTCTCGTGGGGGCCGGGGCCTCCCCAGGGCTCAGAGTTGCTCCTGGCCCCACATGGATGAAGGCAGCTGTGTGCAGGCTGGGTGCCCTGTGCCAGGCATGGCTTTACACCCTGCAAATGAGAGCGGCACGCAGAGTTGAGGCCAGCTCAAAAGAGCACACATCTCCACTGCCACGCTGGGAGCGGTGAGGCCATGGTTGGAAGCTGCAGCACGGGGATGTCCTCAAACGTGCAAGCACGATGCCTGGCCCTGATCTCCAGCACAGCTCATAGGGCCAGGCGCCCACAGCCAAATGCTGGCGGCACAGCCCAGCTGGATGGAGCAGCCCTGCTCGGCGCCATCCACCTGGGCAGACGGCGTCCCCAGAGCCTCCCGTTCCCCCCAGGCAGGACCAGCCCAGGCCAAGGGGGAAACGTGAGCAGGAGGAATCCAGCCTAGCAGACATCAGCTTCCCCACCCGGCTCAGTAGCGAATTTCAGCTTTATCAGCAGGGGTTTGGGGACAGAGCTGCAAAACGTCGAGTCTGCAGCTCCCAACAGCATGAGCGTGGATGGGTCTTGGCTCCCACATGGATGCAGGAGGGCAGAACGGAGTCAGCCCCAGCTGGGGAGCTCAGCTGCAGCACAGGGGGGGAGTGGTTGTTCCGGGCAGCGCAGCCTGGCTCAGCATTAGAGCCTCACACACCGTTACACAGCAGAAATGGAAAAGCTTTGTGAGCAGGAACGATGAGCTAAGGGCTTTAATGCAGCTGACCTCATTCTGGGCGCTGCACCACACTGCACCCTGCTTGAAGGTGGCAAAACAAGGGAAGGGAGAGGAAAGCAAAAAGAGGGGAGGGGTATCCTTTCTGTTTCAAGCACCATCAGAGGCTGCAGCACAACTCGAGCTACTCCCCCCACCACACAGCAACAGAGCTGCTCCGTGCAGCCTGGTCCATCCCTGCCCCCGCACTCAGCAGCAGGGAGGAGAAAAGGAGCCTTCACCCGAAGGAGGCACAAAGGACAGGAGGAGCACAAGGAAGAGATCTCCCATGATTAAGCACAGGACACAGCTCAGGAGAGCAGCTGGGGGAATCAGGCAACGAATGCATCTGTAAGGGGCCAGAAGGGGCCTAAGCTGCCAAGGGACAGCTGCTGTAATTAGCTCTCCCATTTTAAGACAGTGCTCAGCCCCTGCTGCAGCCTCCTCTGGCCGCAGCCTCTTCCCCCCAACGACAGCCAGCCCCTCTGCTTTGTAGGACTTTATTGGAGCGCGGGGGGGGCGGGCTGCAATCACCCAGGGTTAGGGGCAGGCGTGAGCTCTCAGCTCAGTCCCAGTCCCCATCGCCTTCAGGATTGTCATCTCGGGGGGGTTCCTGGAACTGGATGTTGGCCAGCATGTCCCGCATGGCCGCCATGAGCCGGTTCACCCCCTGGTTCAGGTCCTGCCCCGCTCCCGCCTCTTCGTCTCCGTCGTGCCTGATGTCACCCTGCAACAGAGAGGAGCTGCAGGGCCCAGGCTCGGAGCTGGCTGCAGCAGGCAGACACAGACAATGCCACATGCCAAAAAGCATCAGGCTGCTCTGCAACCTGACGTTTACACATTGCATATGCCAAGAGCCACTCCCTTTGCAGAAGCCCTGTGCAGTAAAAACTTCTGCGGACTGAAAGCAAAAACATGCTCTGATTTGCCAGGCAGCTGCTTTGTTGTTTGCTACATACCTGCAAGTTAAAATTTGGCAACAGTGATCGGAAGAAAAGAGATAAAGTGCTTTCATTGGATGGATGATTCGTTCTGAAAGACAGAAATCACACACCACACTTAAAGGGAAGCTTCTACTCCACCTGACTGTGCTTGTTTGGGCCAAGACAGGGCAGAGGAGCTGGTGAGAACCACGCCGTCTCACAACGCACAGCCCCTTCCGTGAGCCAGCTGGGCTCCCCCTCTACCTCCCTTTGGGAATTCATAGGGGTTTCTTATCCAGGCTTCATTTACTACAAACCACATCAGTTAAGAAGCAACCCAAGCTCTTCAGCAGCCTTTGCCTCCACAGCTGTGACTAGCTGCTGTCTGACAGCCACCAGCAGCCCCAGGCAGAAGCAGCAGGACCAGTCCTGCCTGTACGCTCTGCCTGTCGGCAAGCACCACCAGCCAGGGCCGCTCTTCCTCCCAGGTGGAGGAGGACAGCAGCACAGAGCAGCTGCGTGCAGCCCAGCCCGAGGCTGAGGGCATCGTCACTGGGAGGAGAGCTGTGCCAGCAGGCCCAAGGTGAGGGTACCTTTCTGGTCTCGTGTAGGAGATGATGGAGTCTAAAGGAGGAAGGGGGTCAAACCCCATCACAGGCTGCGATGTCACCTCCTGCAGAGAGGAAGAAGAGAGGGGAGGTGAAGGCTGTGCATCTCCAGGCACAGAGACAGTCGGACCAGCTGGGCAGGCCTCGGTCTTGGGGAAATCATCAGCCACAGCCCAGCCTGCCCACACAACACTGTGTGTTCATCCCGAGGACACCCTGGAAGCTGGGCACACTGGGTGGAAGCTTCGAGGCCATGCGGATGTTTCCTTCTGGTGGCTCTGGCCTGAGATGCGCCCAACGTCTGCACGTGTAGCAGGGTCTGGAATGCCACCACGCTGCACACAGCAGTGCTACCTGTGCCCTATCAGGGCCCCTCACCAGAGGCAGAGCTGCCGTGGCCTCCTTCATCTCTGAAAGGATGACATGCCGGTAGATATTCCTGGGTGCACTCTGGTACCGCATTTTCCTCCTAAAGCAGGGAGGGGGGGACAGCAGTTAGCAAGGAGCACAGCTCAGTACAACCAGCATTTCATTTCTGCTTCTCTGTGTGCAGCCTCAGCTCCACGCCTGGCTCTGCTGTCACTCGCAGAATCAGACAGAGCTGGCTGAAGGCAAAGCCAAAGTCACTTGGCAGCTGCTGACCTTCAAATGGAAGAGCAGAACAGCTCACTCTCACTGGCCTCCTTACGCTGCAGGTCAGCAGAGCAAACTAAGCTTAGTTTAGGACAAAAAAAACCGAATGCCACCCTCCTCAACTTCTCAGAGCTTGAAAACGATTTTAGCTGCTCTTAGCAAACCCCAGCATCACTGCTGCTCAACAGAGAGCTCCTCCCTTGTCTGAAAAGCCCCCAGCTTGATGTGTCCCTGTTTGTCAGCACTGAGGTCCAGCAACAGAGCTGATCACCTCTGCCTGCCGCACTCACTTGCGCTCAGACTCCTCCACCAGCGGGTCCCTGGCATCCACCATGCGTAAGACCTCGTGGACGTTCGTCTCCAGCCAAGCCATGACAGCAGGGTCCTTCCACAGGGAATGAGTCCTTCCCACGTAGAGGGACGTCAACTGGTTCAAGGCAGGAGGCTGGCTGAGGAGACAGGCGTTATTCAGCGCACTCTCCTCTTGCCTGCAGCTCTCTGTGCTCTCTGGAAAGGGCTCGTCGTCTCCACGCTGTGCTTCGGTGTGAGAACATGCAGGGAGGAATCGCAGGCTCCCAGCCCTGCTGCCTACATCTACCTTCACCAGTTTTTCTGCCTCTTTCTATTTCTGGGATAGACACAGCCACGAAATGAAAGTTACTCTGCCTTTACCTCAGGGGGAGACCGTTCACGTGTTTGGGAGGACCACATGTCAGGGAAACCCAGACTCACAGGAGACAGTCTGCCCTGAAAGCATGCACACATCGTTCCAACTACACGCACCAACAGGCTGCAGGATGAACTTCTGACCCAGCCACACTAAGGTGAAGCAGGTCTATGAGAGTTATCTGATAGCCTTTATGGGAATCCATTATAAATGCATCTAAGAGCCTCTCAGAAAAGTAAGTATTCTCTGCAGCTTTTAAACTCCATTAGCTGCCTGAGCAAGCAAAAACCCCACAACCAGCAAAATCGATTCCTTCTCTTCACTGAGAGCATCTCCAAGCCTTACCTTATCTGAGCATTCAGCCCAAAAAAGGAATGGGAGGCGACCCTGGCATCAGGCTGCACACTGCAGTGGTCCAACAGCGGCATAAGAACTGCAGGAGAAATTCACACAGCTCGTGTTCAGCAGAAGTGCCATGGGAGCAGGCAGACACCACTGCCAGGGCTGCAGAAAGAGTCCCACCCCTGGGGC